GCCGTAAAGTCAACCAAGACCTAAAAGTAGGGAAGAAAAAGCCACAGACAGTAAACCAACAACTGGCTGTTTATCGTTTTCAATGTGACTTGTGTGATGCAGGTTATGTGGGCTATTCGCGCGGACACTTAAACGTACGTAAACAACGGTTATTTTCTCTATATAAACAATACCAGGACAAACATAGCCAGGTCCCTGAAGACCCAATGAGGCCCTTCAATGTTCTAAAGAAATGTAAAAATAAATTCGATTGCCTGGTGCACGAGATCCTATTCATCAGAGAACTAAAAGCCAACTCCGAACGTGCAATCCGACTCTATCCGTGTTAAAGTATTTCTTTAAATCAATCTCGCATTGTTTATCATGTAAATTTATCGCAGTTATAAATACTCGTATTTACTTGTTTATGTATAACTTAATTTTTGTTGGTAAGGGCTTTTAATTTCCGTAGTTATTCTTGATATTAAAAATGTTCAATTGTGAAATGCGTTGAGTCTTTGTTTTTTTGTTTTTTTTTTCATCGTTCATATCAAGGTTGGGAAAGGCCATTGTCTTTGTGTTGCAAATTTATCTGAAAGGACTTCCAGAAAGCCTCATTGGTACATAATTAACGATGGCTGTGTAACTTTTACGCTGCGGTTAAATGCCTGGCAGCCTAGATTCCGTATTGCGTGGGTCTGCAGCAACAACATTTGGCTTTTTTATCATAAAAAATTATATTCCATGTTGTTGTGGGTCTTTACAGTAATAGATCGAAGAGTAGTTCAAAGTTGTGCAAGAATATCAGTGACTAAATTGGCTGCGCCTCGTGTGCCACTTTCTGTTCTTACCGCCATTATGGCGTCATCTGTGATCTATTTAACAAATAGATTCCAAGTTGCCGTGCGTCTGTTCAATAATAGATCACAGAGGACGTCAAAATGTGATAAGAACAAAAAAGTGGCACACATTATATAATAAAGAATTAAAAAAAGTTTTAATGATGACGTCATCTATACGTCTGTCCTCCAATAGATCATAAGTGAGAATCAATCAGAATGCGTGCATAACTGAGCAGAACAGACCCATGGCAAAATAGAATCTGTTTGTTAACGAGAACTCGGAGAATACTTTTTCGGGACGAACGGTGGAAAGATAAAAATAAAGTAAAATAATAAGCTCTACCCTTTTCGTCGCAAAAATTAACGGAATATTTTGTCATACCATGTACTACATTGAACATCTGCTTCATGTTGATTTCTTGGCTGTTTTCAACATGGTATGCGATCGAATAGTGGTCACTGCGGTTTTACTCCTGACGCTTAATTAGACATTTTATGCATCACTTTCGCAACGTCTTATTGGACATTTTTCGCATCGCTTGATCAACTGATCTCCAAGTAATATAACAAAATAACCGTAGATTTATGAAGTCAATTAAAAGATATATCTGAAAGGAGGAGTGGATAAAACGAAATGATCTTAAAATTGAAACCGCCAAACCGTTATCTTCAGAGCCAACTTATGAATTGTTGTTATTAAAACTTCAAAGAGCCTTCAAACGGCTACTCAATGGAAAAGATTTCCGATGGTGGAGTAAAAAGCTCGTCATCGTCGCTCAAGAAATACTGCCTTTACAGTGTTTCATTCGGTGATTATGTTTTTTTTAAATTGGCAATGATAGTTTTAGAGCGAGCTTGAGTGGAGGAGAAAACAGATCCCATCTAGAAACATCTCTACATCAATAATTACCGATGATGTAACAACTACATTTATCTTTTGACAGTTTCTGCGTCTGACTTTATGCAAATGAATGGTGTGGTATGAATCTCCTCCGGCATGAAAACCCATCCCAGCCTTATTAATGCAGGGGTTGATTGTATAAGCGAGTGCATACCCCTTCTTAGATGTCCCAAAATTTCATTTACATGATTCTTTGTTAGAAGCAGCAAGACCTCTTTGACACCTTAACTGGGTCCAGTGAGTTACAGAATAAGTAAATCCCTCTTGACAATGCATATATGGCCAGTTTCTAAAAAAACCAACATTCCGAGACAATATGGCCACGCGCGATTCAGTTGAAGCTCTTTGTGAAGAGTTGAGGGGAATGAATACTTTGCCAAATCACTTATGTGTTGCAATTGCATTAAGATTGGCTAAATATCTAGAAAAAGCAAATGATTTGCATGCATAATATCAACCATTGTGACGGTCCTAGAAGGGAAATCCCCGATGAAATAACTTGTATTCGCCTATAGCTTGTTGTCTTGCTACAAAGTAACGCAAGAACCTAAAAGGTAAAAACATCTTTTATATCTTCATATAAATACCACAGTATGCTCCTTTTGCTAAAATCGGCTTAGTTCTTGTGTACACATTGATAATGATAATAGGTAGGGACTAAAGCTAAAAGGGTAGACCGTTATTAAAACATCATGATTTGCCAACGGAGTGGATTCTGCAAAAAGAACCGTTGCGCAAGTTGAATGAAACTGATTAACAAGTTTTAGAACAAGAAAGATTCACATTTTATCATGGGAGCACTCGTCATGCAGACATTGAAAACTTGATTTAAAGCTTTTAGTACAGGTTCGAGCGAATGAAAATAATGTTTCACTTTTCCTTTAAAAATCCTAATTGCCAGAGTCCTCCTTACCCGAATTTTCCATTGTTTCTGCAAAAATATGCAACCACGAACTCCACAAAGCGCACGTAATAAAGCAATGCAGGATTTCGCAAAACTTGAAATAGTTCATCCAGAATAGTCTCCAGTCTCTCCCGACATCGAGATTCACAGGGCTGGCTAGCAAATTTTAAAAAAACATGAGTAATGAAGTTTTTCTTTTCACAGGTATGATTTGCGAGCCTTTGTAGTAAAAGTAAGGAAAATTATACCACTCCTCAGCCTTCTTAAAGAATTAAAAGCCCTGGGACAATTGAAATTAAAGCTAATGACACAATACACGATGATAAACGTTGTCAGCTCTTAAGTGTTTCACATCATGTACCAATAGATATCTTAAACTCTGCACTCTCCCTGAAGTTTTGCATGAAAAGACAGTTATATCGTCACAAAAAGAAACAGATATAGTTAAAAAAAAAAAAAAACCTTCTGAAATTTACGTACAGAATATTCTCGCACGCATGACGTGTAACTAAGCATAACAAAATACACTGTAATGAATTAATAGGGATGGAAATCCTGATGGAAGGAAATAACATGCGAACGCATTTGTACCGTGTATTAATAAGCCAGCGACATACGTATCTCAATCAAGGTCTCACCGAGGTCGCTAAAAACCATTTTTGGTTGAAACAGAGAAGAAATAGAGTAGCTGTGCGTACGTGTTCGATGCATGTCTATGAGCGTTATTGAAGTTATCACGAGAATAGGGCACAAAAAGAAACGGCTAGGTTAGTCAATTAAAGAATGTAATAAATTACGTTGTAGGATGATTCTGTAGTACGTATATAACAATTGAACAAAACAGTCTAGTCCTAGAATTTTTGCTCGTTGAACTGTAAGGGCCAGAAGTCTACAATGAAGGCAATTTTAACACAACATCATGCCTTGGAAGAGTAATATTTAGCACAGTTGTCTTAACGCCTCACTAGTTTAAACATGTTGCGATTCAATGTACTCTCGGGTGATTAAGCAGATATTATCCTTTTGAAACATCTTTCCTTCATTCTAACCTCCATTTACCGCGGTCTAGACAACAGTTGTATAATCTGCCCATAATTCACAAATGGAATGGTATCCTCGACTATAATATCTCTGGTAAGTCCTCCTCGATTCTTTCACAGACAGATTTTGAATAATTTTAATTAAGCCATGACTCAGACTCAATTTATCAACCGCTAGACGAAGATCGAAATTGCGCTCTGAACATTATCATCAGTGAATAGATACATGAAAATTCACATATTTGCACTGCGGTGGAAAGAAGAAATTAGGAGATCCTCGCAGCTAAGAACACTACTGAAACGAGTAGTTGTAAATAGGACCTGAAAAAAATTTCAGGCCCGTACGGGATTTGAACCCATGACCTCTGCGATACCGGTGCAGCGCTCTACCAATTGAGCTAACAAGCCAACTGGGAGCTGGTCAATGAATTGGGTCCAAATAAACATCCAAGTGAATGAAGATTTTAGATACATGAAAATTCACATATTTGCACTGCGGTGGAAAGAAGAAATTAGGATCTCCTAATCTCCTAATTGCTTCTTTCCACCGCAGTGCAAATATGTGAATTTTCATGTATCTAAAATCTTCATTCACTTGGATGTTTATTTGGACCCAATTCATTGACCAGCTCCCAGTTGGCTTGTTAGCTCAATTGGTAGAGCGCTGCACCGGTATCGCAGAGGTCATGGGTTCAAATCCCGTACGGGCCTGAAATTTTTTTCAGGTCCTATTTACAACTACTCGTTTCAGTAGTGTTCTTAGCTGCGAGGATCTCCTAATTTCTTATTATCATCAGTAATACGTACTCAGCACAGATGGGTTAACTGTCTATGTCTTGGGGTTAAAATGCACTCTAAAAAATCTGGGACATAAAAGTTATTTAAAGGATTAAATGATGCGTGAGTTATTCATAAGATTCTGGGTTTTGAAGCAAGCGTAGGCTGGGGGAATTTCATTTTGCATTAAGCCGAGTGCTTACCATTTCTTGATGGTCCAAGAATATCCTTTACGTGATTCTTTTCTACAAGATCGACAAGCCACAGAAGCTCTTTGATATCTCAACTGGGTCCAGTGAGTCAGATCCGTGAAACAGTTTGTGAATATATTAGGAAACTAATTAACTTGCCACTTTTGCGAGGAGCTGTGACTTTGAACCCTCTTGTCTCTTTAGCAAGAGACGATAGTCTATTGAGCATGATTCGCAAGAGATCTAGCCAATAAGATTAGCTAATTGTTCATTATTTCTTAAGTGACAGCAAGTTATTGATATGAATAATTCATGCAAACCCATTGCGACATTCCTTAAAGAAGAATCCCCGATAAAATAATTTGCATTCATCCATACCTTGCTGTCTTAGTGGCCACAAAGCAGCGTTCGGACCTGAAAGGTAAATAATTACACATTTCATATCTTCATATGAATACGAAAGTATGCTCCTTTCACCATAATAAGCTTATTCTTTAACAAACAGTGATACTCAGTAAAACTGTTGGTACAAAGGAAAGGAAATTTTAAAATGACTTCCCAACGGAGAACCTTTGGACCAACTAGCGATTTTTAGATCAAAAAACAAACACATTCTATCATGGAGGCACTCATAAAGCAGACGTTGCTAAGTTAATGTGAAATTATTAGTATTGTTTCGGGCGAAAAAAACAAACAACTCTCTTTTCCTTTTAAAATCCTAGCTAACTGTTAGAGTCTTGCATATCGGTAGTCTCTATTTTTGCCCCAACATTTTAACTATGAACTGTGTAAAGCATACTATCGAGCTTTAACTGTGTGACTTTACAACTATTCCAATTTCAGGCGGTGGGTAAGAGTGAGTGTTATATACGTAGTTGTAAGGGTTTTAATTACACGCTTTAGGTAAGCTCAATTTTTACTCAGGCGCTGTTCTAAAGGAGTTCTGAGTGATAACCACGAAGTTTCACAACTTATGCTTCACTGCTCATATGTGGGTTGCAAGAATTGAGTGGAAGGATGTGAACAGACTTTTTGAATGCGATACCATTACACTCATGTCTCTATTTCAAAAGCTTCTCTCGGTCCTTTTTTATACGGCATATGACATTGAGATGTGAAATAAGTGTACAAATCTTAGAAAGACTAAGCTTTGATTTTACCATCGCGAGCGCCTGAGTACACTCAGACATGTGTCTTGTTATTGATGTGTTCTACAAAGGCCAAATTACCATCGTCGCATATCCTTGTAGGATTTTGTGCTTTCTGGAACATCTTCCGGTATTTTAATAACAATACAGGACCCGTGGTCTAGAAAACCACAAAATTTCCCAGGCTTGTTAAAATAGGGATGCATCAATGCCGTAACTGAATAGAACAATACAGGAGTGCGTAACAATTGAAATTGTTTCTCTGGAACCATCCTCGGTCTATCCTAACATAAAAATTTCCAATGCTGGCCAGCCAATTTAGGCAAAGCACATTTGAAAAGCTCCGATATAACATAACAATCAGTCAGTATTAAGGTTTTTCTTTTTTTTGGTGAACCATGTAAGTCTTTGTAACAAAAGTGAGAAACATCGTGCCACTTTCCTTGGTTTTTGTGGAGAGAATTAATGCCCTGGAGGCAACTGGAAACTAATTCCACAACATACTGCATAAATTAAGACGTTGTAAGCCCAAGTATTCTGCAACTAGTGTCAATTTAAAAAAAAAAAAAAAAAAAGCTACGTCGCCATGGATAAAAACTGTAATCGTCATTTGCCGAAATATAAGTACATGGCTCTTCGCACGCAAAATGCGAAAGCAAGCATAACACTTTCTTCTGTTTTAATTGTGATGGAAATCCTGATTTCAAGGAATTATTATGTGGAGACATAGTTCTATATGGCGTATTAACAAACCAGTGGAATACGTAGTTTGATTGAAGTCTCATACAAGACTTCAAACAGAGAAGAAATGAGGTAGTCGTGCGTGTTTCGTGCAGGTGTTGTGGAAGTTATCTCGAAAACAGGGCACAAAAACAAATGGCTAGGTCAAACAAAGAATTTAAAAAATCATGCTATCAAAAGATTTCGTAGAGCGTAAACAGAACACTTATGTTCTAGAACTCTAAAAGCCAGACGTATGCAATAAAGCTGAGAGAGGGTAATTTGTTTTGTCTACGCACATATATTGATCACTGATAAACACAAATTTAGAACCGGCAACTTTATCTTCATGTCTCAGTAGTTTTATACAAGGTTAGGTAAAGGGAGCCTCTAGACCAAACCAAGTGTTGAGACTAGATGATGTCTCGTTTTGTAAAGGAGGCATTATACTTTTGAAACATTTTCACCCTCTTTTTAGCGTCCATTTTCCGTAGTCCACACTAATGCTGCGTACGCTGCTTGTAATTTAGAAGTAGAATGGCATCCTGGACTTTAATACCTTTGGTAAGTCTTCCTCTTCTTCATTGATGGAAAACTTGTGAATAATTTTCGCGTCAGCCAAGATGCAGGAGGCGTAAAGGCTAATTGGTTTAGCTTTCAATTGGCCGACTGCTTTTTTGACTAAAAAGCTGATGATTGTGCTTCATTTTACACTTCAGGTGGCCTGCATTGCCGTAATTGATTTATCAAACGCAAGACCAAGATCTCAGCGGCGCTCGGAGGATTATGGTGGTAGACACCAATTACGAAAAGAAGGTACCAAGGATTCTGATGTTTCAGTGTGCTAGCTAGGGGAATATCACTTTTTATGATCCATGAGATATTTTTTCCTCCACTTGATTGATCTAAACTCATCAAGTGATCGAATACACCCTAGCTAAAACTGGAAAATATCCGAAGATATAACCCAAGTGATATTCCCTTATTTTAAAACCCTATATCTACTACGATAAAAGAGTTCGTTAAAATTTTATTCAAGATGAGAGAGTGCCGGTACATCCCACGTGGCAAACAGTAAGGTGTTAACATTTTACCCGCGCTTCGCTCTCGGAAAACTTTTTGAATCTCGTAAGAAAAAATGTTTGCGGACAAATATCCGTGCATATTCTCGCGCCAAATAGAGGCTGTTGTTTACATGTGTTTAGGGGCCAATAAGCAATGTAAAAGGAGAGATAACAGTCCTCATAATCCTACAGAATTCTTATTCGTAAAACGATGTCTTTACTGACTGAGTGGAAGGGCCGGACGAAAAATATTTGGCTCCCTTGTGCAGATATACAAAAATTCCCAAAGTCACCATCTTTGAAAAGTCCGTAACTTAAGCTTTTACAAGCCCTCAACTAAAGAAGATTTTGGAGTCCCCTCATTTTTAACGTTCAACTGTAATTAGCTCAGTTATATTTATCTGTCTACAAGGATTATAATGACCTCTTTACATACAGCTCATGACCTCCTTAAATGGTCACTTTTAATGTTTGTATACAGGTACACAAACATTTAAAGTGAGGTGGAAACCCATCAAATGATTGGTGTTAAGAAAAAAAGAAACCAATTCTAGTCACTTAAAGTAATCTTACTTTATCGCCTTGATCTAATCGTACTTTTTGTGGCAAACAAAAATAATTGAAATTTCTAATCTGCCTTCGTTTAAAGTAAGGATTCGATCAATGATTTTACCTCTATAAAGGTTTTTTTTATTTTAACTACGTCGGTATTCATATGGTTTTTCGTTTTTACTTCGTTTATTGATCTAACTTCTTATTTACTTATACAATTGTCTAACCATTTTTCTGATTATTTGTTTATGTTTTACATTATGCAAATGTGGGGCTTTCAAAATCTTGACCATTTTAAAAGCTTTTGTCAAAGACTCATTTACTCTAGTAAAAAAAGCTGAACTTTAACTTTTTAGATTCACTTCATAAAAGAATCAACAGCGAGCATCTATATAGGCACCAATGGGAGAGGGACCAGGACCGAGCTGATCAAAAACTCCACGAATTCCAAAGGAAGAGGGACCAGGACGGAGCTGATCAAAAACCCTTCGAATTACCGTCGATGAGAGACCAAGGTCGACCTGATTCAAAACTCCATGAATTTAAAACGGTGAGAGACCAAGACAGACCTGATCAAAAGCTTCGTGAACTTGAAGTGATGACAGACCATGACCGACCTGATCAAAAACTCCATAAATTTGAGATGATGAGAGACCAAGAGCAACCTAATCTAAAATCTCAGGAAATACCGTCGATGAGAGACCAAAGTCGACCTCATCAAAATCTCCCTGAATTCGAAAAAGTGAAAGATCAAGGCCAAGCTTATAAAGAACTGTATCAGTTGGATCAAGAGTGGGACTGGCTTAACAGGCAGAAAAATGGTAAACTTGTATTTAGGCATACAGGAGTAAATTCATTATCACGTCACTCTTTTCTGATTATGAAAAGAATTCGATAGATGACTCAAATCTATTTATTCTCGAAAAAATGATATGAAAGGAGTTCCAATGAAGTATAAAGATAAACAGCCCTGTGATCTTGCCACCTGCTTGAAAGTTGTGCCAAGTCTTGTGGCATTTGACGACGAGTTCTCTTTATTTCCAGATTACATTCAGGCAGCATCTTTGGTTTCAAAGGATAATCCCGTTAGTTCTTTGCCAGATGACGCTACTAAAGAAGAACAAGGAGAAGAAGAAGAAACGGCAGCAATTCCAGCAGAAGTAAACGATGAAGAGGAAGACGAAGAGGAAGACGAAGAGGAAGAAGAAGATGAGGAACAAGGAGAAGAGGCGGAAGTAGGAGAAAAACACAAAGAAAGCAAAAGTGAGTAAAATTTAATCTTAATAATTATTCTTGTTTTCATTTTTACGATGACAATTTTATTTCACCTTTTCTTGATTGCAGTAGTCAAAATAGGGTCGTCTGGGATAGCGTTCACTGCATTAAATTTGTTAAAAGCATCTCTTTTCTTTCTCCGTCCCAACAACTGATGGCAGACCTCGATATTTTAAAAGAGAGGGGGAGAGAGTTCAAGGTCTGACCCTGGACTGGCAACGCATTGACATCCATCTAAGATACCACTGCCCCCAGCGTGAAATCCAAGAAAAAAAGTCAATAGCGTATCATATCATTCTCCTTCATATCATTCTCCTTCATATCAACTTTTAGCTACCAGATAGGGGCTGTAGGGAAGAATCCTGAAGAGGAAGACCTATTGACCCCATTGTGGGGTCAGTAGACTATACAATTAAAATGAGTTCAATACAATAACGAAAGAGTGTTAATATTTCCCTTTATGGCGCTATAAAGCAAGTTTCTTCATGGCAACCCATAGTCATGCAACTTATCGATAAGCACTAATTAAATTAAATTCAAACTTAGACTGGGGCTTCTTAGCTAAATCATGTATTTATCATATTTAACCTTCTTTGAGTAAACAGACACAGACTTCAAGATAGCTGTAAGATATATCTACCATTTCTAAATCACGGTTTTCCTATTTCAACAGGAGTGTTGGGAAAATTGCTCAAAAATATATTGAAAGAAGGTAAGATCTAAGATACATTAATCATTGCATGCTCAATAATTTTATTAGATTTTTTAAACTAAAATCGAGAAAAGGGAAGGTATGTGCACTTTACTTAAGATTACAAAGGGCCTTTTATATCTTTTCTGATAAAGGTCCATCTGAAGTTTTTAAGAGTCCATATTTCCTCACTTGACCCGAAATATTAAGGAAATCTAAGGCCCTCACCACTACATCTTTTCAGGCCGTTACTAGGGAATATTTAGATGGCTGTAACTCGACCTTATTCTGTTGTTATTTGGCTTACTAAATTTTTCCTGGTTCAGCCCGAAATTAGTAAATAAACGATAAAAAAAGAATTAAAACAGCAACAAATATCCTTTTAATTGAAAAAACCCCGGTCTCGCCTTTACCAAGTTACAAAAACTGCGAGATGGTGGTGTGGACCCCTAAAAAGGTTATGTTCTGACAAACCAAAGTTACAACGGTAAAATTTTTTAATAACTTCTTTCTAAGAAGTCTGTGCAAACTTCTGTCAAGAAACATCGGATACTGATTCAAAGAATCTTTTTAGCACACTCTTGTGTTTCAAAGATAAAGCAAGACACTACTCTGACTAACCTCCTTGTCTAAACAAATGCAGCATTAAATATGGCCATTAGGATACATTCTAAAGCACTATTCCCTACTTCTACAGCAGCAAAAAGAAGAAAAGGCGAAAGGTTGATTATCAAGATCAAAAAAGGTTAGAACTAAGGCACATTAATTGCTTTTTAATTGAAATTGTTATTTGCTCAAGATCAAAAATTGGCAAAGATGGGTCTGTTTAATTGAATTGAAAAAGGCCCTAAAAGGTTACGTGAATTTTCATCCAGCTTCGATTGTAATGTGATGTACATTTCACGCGATCCAAGTTCTAATGTTTCGGCGGTCGGACGGACGTTGACTTCCCATCGTCATAACTGAAAATAGTTTATGATATTTAAAGCATAGTAAATAAGCTCCCACAGCATCGTTGCAATTGTAATTGTGATTGTTTCATCATTAATGAAACAATTGCTATATTCGAGATTGGTTACAGCTAACCTACATCGAAAGCGTGCTCATGGAATGGTTGCTCATTAGTATATACTGAAACAGTGGATAACGCTGAAAGCGCGCTCTGATTGGTTACTCAAACTCCGAGTATCCTTTGCTATTCATCTCCAAGCAAATCGTGCGGGACTAAATGCGCTAAAATCACCATTTAGTGCTATGTTATTTCACCGTTTCACTATTATAATAAAACAACTATTCACCTCAGAATCAGCGACTAGCATAAGATATATAACGCGCCACTCACAGCTTGGTAAATATTCACAACTAGCAACCTCCACTTCAGTGAATAGTTGTTAAATGGTTTACTAATAATAAATACACATTTATTTTGTCCAAACAAATTCCTGTCAAGAAGCACTGAATCCTTATTCATGGGAAACCCTCTAGCGCACAATTGTTATTATGAGATAGAACCGGTGTCTACCATGATTACATATGTTTGTACGGACAAATGCGAACTTGAAGCTGGTTGTAAGATATATTTACATTTCCTAACTCATTTTTCCCTTATTCAACAGAAAGCAAAACGTTTATAGTCAAAGGAATATTGATAATAGAACTCAAAGAAGGTAGGAAATATGGTAGAATAATTGCTTTTCACTTAAAAGTTAGGAAAGATATCTAAAAGCTCTTCAATGACAAGAGTAGGGGAAAATGGTCAGAGAGAACGAAAATGTAGGGCTTCATAAGAACTGACAACTCCTCTTCCCCCATTACTTTTTTACCCTCAATCGTTTTACTACAAAGGGGCCAAGTGATAGAGAAACAAGCTTCAACAGGGCGATCAAAATGCGCAAAGCCACTCACTCAGAAATAATGAAACTATTATTAGGGCAACAGGAAGAGGAAGAGGGAGAAGGAGAAGAAGAAGCGTCAGCTGAAGAAGAAGCACCAACTGAAGAAGTAGAAGGATCAGCTGAAGAAAAAGCACCAACTGGAGAAATAGAAGGATCAGCTGAAGAAGAAGAAGAGGCATCAGCTGAGGGAAAAGAAGAAGCATCAGCTGAAGAAGAAGAAGAAGAAGAAGCGTCAGCTGAAGAAGAAGCACCAACTGAAGAAGTGGAAGGATCAGCTGAAGAAGCACCAACTGAAGAAGTAGAAGGATCAGCTGAAGAAGAAGAAGAGACATCAGCTGTGGAAAAAGAAGAAGCATCAGCTGAAGAAGAGGGATCAGCTGAAGCAGAAGAAGAAGCGTCAGCTGAAGAAGAAGCACCAACTGAAGAAGTAGAAGGATCAGCTGAAGAAGAAGAAGAAGAGGCATCAGCTGAGGAAAAAGAAGAAGCATCAGCTGAAGAAGAAGGAGAAGCGTCAGCTGAAGAAGAAGCACCAACTGAAGAAGTAGAAGGATCAGCTGAAGAGGAAGAGGAGGCATCAGCTGAGGAAAAAGTAGAAGCATCAGCTGAAGAAGAAGAAGAAGCGTCAGCTGAAGAAGAAGCACCAACTGAAGAAGTAGAAGGATCAGCTAAAGAAGAAGCACCAACTGAAGAAGTGGAAGGATCAGCTGAAGAAGAAGGAGAGGCATCAGCTGTGGAAAAAGAAGAAGCATCAGCTGAAGAAGAAGGATCAGCTGAAGGAGAAGAAGAAGCGTCAGCTGAAGAAGGAGCACCAACTGAAGAAGTAGAAGGATCAGCTAAAGAAGAAGCACCAACTGAAGAAGTAGAAGGATCAGCTGAAGAAGAAGCTCCAACTGAAGAAGTAGAAGGATCAGCTAAAGAAGAAGCACCAACTGAAGAAGTAGAAGGTTCAGCTAAAGAAGAAGCACCAACTGAAGAAGTAGAAGGATCAGCCGAAGAAGAAGAAGAGGCATCAGCTGAGGAAAAAGAAGAAGCATCAGCTGAAGGAGAAGAAGAAGCGTCAGCTGAAGAAGCACCAACCGAAGAAGTAGAAGGATCAGCTGAAGAAGAAGAAGCACCAACTGAAGAAGTAGAAGGATCAGCTAAAGAAGAAGCACCAACTGAAGAAGTAGAAGGGTCAGCTGAAGAAGAAGCACCAACTGAAGAAGTAGAAGGATCAGCTGAAGGAGAAGCACCAACTGAAGTAGTAGAAGGATCAGCTGAAGAAGAAGCACCAACTGAAGAAGTAGAAGGGTCAGCTGAAGAAGAAGCACCAACTGAAGAAGTAGAAGGATCAGCTGAAGGAGAAGCACCAACTGAAGTAGTAGAAGGATCAGCTGAAGAAGAAGCACCAACTGATGAAGTAGAAGGGTCAGCTGAAGAAGAAGCACCAACTGAAGAAGTAGAAGGATCAGCTGAAGGAGAAGCACCAACTGAAGTTGTAGAAGGATCAGCTGAAGGACAAGCACCAACTGAAGTAGTAGAAGGGTCAGCTGAAGAAGAAGCACCAACTGAAGAAGTAGAAGGATCAGCTGAAGGAGAAGCACCAACTGAAGAAGTAGAAGGATCAGCTGAAGAAGAAGCACCAACTGAAGAAGTAGAAGGGTCAGCTGAAGAAGAAGCACCAACTGAAGAAGTAGAAGGGTCAGCTGAAGAAGAAGCACCAACTGAAGAAGTAGAAGGATCAGCTGAAGGAGAAGCACCAACTGAAGTAGTAGAAGGGTCAGCTGAAGAAGAAGCACCAACTGAAGAAGTAGAAGGATCAGCTGAAGAAGAAGCACCAACTGAAGAAGTAGAAGGATCAGCTGAAGGAGAAGCACCAACTGAAGTAGTAGAAGGATCTGCTGAAGAAGAAGCACCAACTGAAGTAGTTGAAGGATCAGCTGAAGAAGAAGAAGAGGCATCAGCTGAGGAAAAAGAAGAAGCATCAGCTGAAGAAGAGGAATCATTAGCTGAAGAAGAAGCATCAACTGAAGAAGTAGAAGGTTCAGCTAAAGAAGAAGAAGAAGCGGAAAAAGAAGAAGAAGGAGAAGAAGAAGAAGCATCGGCTGAAGAAGAAGTGGAAGAGGAAGAACAAGAAGCATCAGCTGAGGAAGAAGAAAAAGAAGAAGCATCAGGAGAAGGAGAAGAAAAAGAAGAAGAAGAAGAAGAAGAAGAAGAAGAAGCATCAGCTGAAGAAGAAGAAGAAGAAGAAGAAGAAGAAGAAGAAGAAGCATCAGCTGAAGAAGAAGAAGAAGAAGAAGAAGAAGAAGAGGCAGAACAAGAAGCATCAGCAGAGGAAGAAAAAGAAGAAGAAGAGGAAGAAGGAGAGGAAGAGGAGGAGCAGCAAAAAAAAAAATGCAGGAGTGAGTGTATTTAAATTCCCCTTTCAATTTTTGTTTTAATTTCAAGGAATTCAATTATGTATGGAATATTCTTTACCTTAAGTTGTCAAAGGATGGTTGTCCAGTAAATGTGTTGAATTCACTCAAAACTGAAACAACCATTTCTTTGAAAAGCACCTCTTTTCTCTTTTCGTACCGGTAACTAATAGGGAATATTTTTAATTACGTTGAGAACATAGTCTCCCTCCAAGCTAACAGCGCATTAACACCAATCTAAGAAATTTCTCGAGTAAAAAAGCATCCCAGAGAAGAAGAGTCGGACAAATCGCGTGAAAAAAGCGATAGTTCAAGCATTTTCCATTGTAAGATGTTTTTATTTCATACATACTGAGATTTTGTTTTCTTACTGACTGACACACTTCAAAGATAGGAGGCCATTAAAGTGTAAGAGCAAATTTTATCATAAACACTGCCAAATGCACAGCGTGGGGCGATATTCAGTCTCTATTGACAACTATTTTCCTATTTTATTTGCTTCCTCACTAATTTGCCGACGAAGAGTCTTTCCTATCAAAAGAGAGACAAATATAATTAAATGTTTTAAAAAAAAAAAGATGCCTGGAAATAAGAAGTATAAACACTTGCCAAAAAATAAGACAGCCTCGGATTTACAAACCTGCGAGTTTTCTCAAACGCTACATCGTTGATGATTCAAGCTTGTTAGTTTTTCGTTTGAGATATCGTTCAAAGGTGGCAAAATCAACCCTCGCAGAGATGTAGACTCGTAGTAATTTCCATCTTTGGTTCTGACAGTGAGTACAAACTCGCTCAGCAATTCATTGAGTAGAGCAGGAGGCATTCCTTCAACGTTTCTGAGCTCTACCTTCCACTGAAGAAAGCTTTTTAGCAGGCTTACGTTCATTTCGGTCCTGCCTCTCCTGTTTTTGTTTTCTTGGTCATGTATGAAGTCATGAATTTTTCGTTCAGGGGGAGCAAATCTTAGCACTTCTTCTTCCGTTTTTTAAACAAAAAGCTGTGCACTTGTTGCCCTCCACTGTGAAGTACTATCGTTCGTATCTCTGATACTGAATAAACGATGTATTTTCTCAGTCGTTCACTTTTCTGATTATTTGGTTGTGTATTTCGTAAGAATTTTACGTAGGCTTTTTTTATGTGTAAATCTTAATATGTATGAAATAAATGTCTATATGTTCTAAATCATTTTCTTTTTCAAAAGAAGGAAGACGAAGAGGAAAGAAAGGAAAATGCAGACGTAAGTGCTATTTACTTAACAATGAAAAGGGCTCCGAAAGACTCCAACAAAACATGGCAAGGTCTCAAAAAAATTACTGAGTCCTGTACTGTTTCTTTCCAGGACTCTCGAAATCGAGATGGGAGAAAGTTTAGTTAATAATTCAATTAGCAACAACTAAGGTTAATGCAAACTCCTAAGTGCAAAGTGTCTAGTATGATTAATTTTCAGGACAAAGGCAAATTTGAAGATGGGTGTAATATTTATCGGTTTCTTATTCAAATTTAACGACAGGCAAAAAACTCATATGCAGAGGAAAAAATTGGATACGAGGTAAGAACAAAGATACAGTAAGTGCTCTTTCATACGTAAGTAAGTAAGTAAACTCTTTCTTTAAAGAGGACAGTACGCAATAACCAAAAAGCCAATGAACCTGTGGCCCTCGTTGAAATTCTACGTGCAGGTATTTACTTTGCTTGAAATCCAAAGGGTAAAGGCACGAGTCATTTTCTTAGAACTCAAAATGGCCCTTGAGGAATGTCTTTGTTGCAATGGGCATTGTGCCGCCTTTTGTGGGCTCAAATGGAGAATTTGACCGGCTAAATTATATTTTATGAAACAAACCAATGAAAAGTGAGAATCAAACAATCCTAAGAGCTAAAAAGCAATTAGGCTTTTAATTCGGACTTTCCTATCGCGCTTTCTACAATTTTTGAGAACTCAGATGGCAAGATTTCGGATTTTCAATCCAGCTTTACTCGATAATGTAAAGGCCTTGAGGGAAAATAGGGCCATTCAATGTATGAATACTCGCATGGTTTTTTAGACTGTTTTGTTGTCATTTTTTTCAAATTCCATTTTCTCATTTCCTTTCGAAGTAATAGTAACAGTTTACAATACTGATAGTAACAGTTTCTTTTATGAGGCATAGATATATTTTGGACCATTCTCAAGTCATTTTAATCCTCGCCTATTGGCTCAGGCTACAATGAGTCCATGCATACGTGACTAGAAATTTAACGTTACTAAATAAGATCATTCAAATCATTTAGTTACAACAAACTTAGTTAGCCCATAGTAACTCTTGGCAAGTGGAATTGGAGACGGAGTCAAGGGAAAATCCGCAGTAAGCTCTTGCCTTTCTAAGATTGAGTATGTCTCTACTATGATTAACCCTTTAAGATAAATTTATTTTACCTGAATCCCGATTCCCTTATTTAACAGTGGGTGGAAGATGTAAATGGAAACTATTAGAAGAACTCCACAAAGGTATGAAGCATGATACAGTACTCATTGCGTATTAAATGATTTACTCTGATTATTTACTTAAAATGAAAAAGGCAGAGGTAGGAGCAGTTTGTTTCAAAACAAAGGCTTTCTAACAAAACTTAGTAAGGTACATACTTAGGCTACTAGGGGCCAATATCTCCTGATTCGAATCGAAAAATCCTGGCTAGTAACAAAGTTTACATTATGGTAATCCATGGTTATGCACTTAATATTATCCAATCACCGCAAACCAAGTAAGTCTATAGAAGCTCAGTGCAAAGGTCATGGCAGAAAGGCTAAAATTTGGTTTCTCATTTCAGTAATATTAAAAAACATTGGAAGCAAAGGAAAAAACAACGGGAGAGGACACATAATTAAATGGAAAATATTTAGAAAAGGTAAGAAGCAAAAGCTGTTAATTAGAATTACCTTCCCCCTCTGGTTTTCTACTCCACCCCCCTGTCCTTGTACAAGTTTCAAAAAACGAGTCAATATCAAGTAAGAGAGAGAAGCCCTCCATTCCAATTATTAAATTGCATTGACTTCTTAATCATCAAGCACAAAACTTTTATTTTTGCATTATTTTTATCTTTCCTCGGCAGGAGGAAGAAGAGGCCGTTAGTGAAAAGACTTTGACGAACCAAGGGAATGTCCTGCCCTAACAAGTTTTCGCTTCTGTTTATTATCATTTTGGTCAATAGTTGATTTTCGTTCCAAACGAGTATGATGTGAAACTGCTGGTTTTGCGATCTTATTAGTATCGTATTGGACTCTCTTCAATGTACTATTTTTCCATCAGCTTGTTTTAGACATTATATACATGCAGTTAGTAAGCACATTTTGTCAGGAAGACTCAATGATTGTAACTAGTAGATAGCCTTATACCGCCATCGTTCGTATATCACTAGATAATCTGCACATGGCTTTTCATTTCCGTAGTTATTCTTGGTATTAAAAATGCACAATTGTGAAATGCGTTCAATCTTTGTGTATATAATAAGCTCAGTTATGCACGCATTCTGATTGGTTCTCACTCATGATCTATTGGAGGACAGACGTATCGATGACGTCATCAATAAAACTTTTTTGTAATTCTTTATTACATAAAACAAATAGATTCCAAGTTGCCGTGCGCCTGTCCAGTAATAGATCACAGAGGACGTCAAAATGTGGTAAGAACATCAGTGACACACTCGGCTGAGCCTCGTGTGCCACTTTTTTGTCCTTTTGTCCATTTTGACGTCATCTGTGATCTATCACTGAACAGACGCACGGCAACTTGGAATCTATTTGTTAATTTTATCAGCGTTCATAGATATCAAAATAGTTGTGCATATCAAGGCCGGGAAAGGCCACCGTCGGTGTGTTGCAAATTTATCTGAAAGGACTCCCAAAGAGCCTCACTGGTATATATTTAATTTAACACTGGTTGTGTAACTTTTACGCTGCGGCTAAATGCCTTGCAGCTGGGAACGATCTTAAGTGGCCGCATACCCCGAAGTGAGAGTTTCTTTCAAACTTTTAAGGGTACAACAACATTTATCAAAATAAAAAGGATTCCATGTTGTTGTGGGTAAGTACAGAAATAGATCAAGAGTAGTTCAAATTTTTGCAAGGACATCAGTGACGCACTCGGCTGCGTCTTCGTGTGCCACTTTTTGTTCTTACCACATTTTTTTGTCATGTGTGAGCTATTACTGAACAGACGCAGAGCAACATTAAATCCGTTTGTTCACGAAAACTCGGAGAATATTTTTTTAGGACGAACGCTCGAGAGATAAAAGCAGATTTATATAATGAGATGTGTTATAGACGGTGGCCGAGGTGGGGTCCCATAATTCTATCATTCTTCTCAATGTAGTGTAACATGTTATGTGGGATTTGTCAAATAAGAACAGCAATTTATTCTGCGTTATTGGGGCATTTACATTTTCATCAACATTTTAATTATTTTTGTTCGTCATTTACATTTCATTGCAGATTAAAGCTGTTGTAGTTCATTCCGGCAAACTAAAAAGTGGGCTCTGGTCCTCCCTCCAAACACACAGTCTCCCCCCCTCTCCTCCCCTTCACACTTTTCGTCACAAAAAAATCAACGGAATATTTTGTCATAACATTTACGTCAATGAAAATCTGCTTCATGCTGATTTCTTGGCGGCTTTTAACATAAAATACGAATAGTGGTCACTGCGGTTTTACTCATGACGCTTTATCATACATCTTTCGCATCGCTTGATCAACCGATCTCCAAGTCACAGAATAAAATAACCTTAAATTTATGAAGCAAAATAAAAGACATATCTGAAGAAGGAGTGGATAAAACCAAATAATCTTGAATAGATCTAGCTTCTTTCAAATTAAAAGTATAAGAGTTCAAATGACTACTTGAAGTAAACAAGAAGTCGGGGAGAACGTGAAGCTATGAGCGGGTACCGTCACACACTTGAAAAAATTGTTCTTTCCTAAGGGCAAATTGCGGCATTTGAATATCGCGACACGCAAGGCTTTGACCTTTTACAGAGGATATACACCAAACCTCAAAAGATAAGTACATAAATTTCACCTACTATAAATATGATTTACTTTGTATAAATACCTGGCTATACATACTACGAGGTTCGACATGTTGATTAATCCACGAAAGCTGCTATCCTTTTTTGAAATCAAAGCGTGAACAGTTTATTGAATATGGAAAAGCAACTCAGTCATGTAAACAAAGCCCTTAAATTTAAATTCCATTTTTGATGAAACCTATTGTATCCTTTCATTTACGTCAGTGCTGTTAATTGATAGGCAGTCACTGGAGAGTGAGTGAGAGGCAGTGACTGGCCAAACTCATTTTTAAATTGTCCCATTAATCATTGTGAATGAGCCATCGTCTCTTGCAAAACTACCAGGAGGTGGGGGGGGGGAGTGGTACTTTAGCCCTCCCTCCACAAGCACATTCTCTTTCACTACCCTTTGCGTTTTGTCGCGAAAATTGGCGCAAAGCACCAAAAATGAAATTTTTTGTATCAAATAGAGACTGTTTAATAACAATTCATATAACACATAGGTTATTTATTGGATTACAAAAGGCATACACTATTTATAAGAGTTAAGGTTTCGGGGGAGGTTTGGACTGAGGCTGTGCCTCTTCTCGGGTGACTTCATCTGCCCAAAATTACTCTATTTAGTTCTTTTCTACGGGCAACAGCACTCCTTAACAGGGTCCAGTGGGTCAGTAATCACTTTTTGACAATATAGTAGTAAAACATAGCTGTCCAAGAGAAAAAACACGGCATAATTTCTCCAAGCATGATTCTGATGAAGCAATTTGTGTAAAGATTAGGAAACTTAATATTTCGCCAAATATCTTATATGTTGCAACTGCGATGACTTCTGCGACGTAACGTAGGAGGGGGGTGCTGTGAAATTGGAGGAAAGGTCAGAGTCCCCTGATGAAAGTTGCCAATCATTCATTATTTCTCCAGTGACCTCCAATTAAATGCATGAATCTTGTCCACCCTTTGTAATTGTACAGGGAAAAGAATCTCTCCTAAAATAATTTGCATTCGTCCATTGTGGTCACGAAGCAAAGCAAGGTCCCGAAAGGTGAAGTGTATATTTTTTTATATATCTCATAGGTAAACCTCTCCATGCTCTTTTCGCTTAAATCAACTTATTCTTGAACAATTCCTTGATACAAAGTCAGCACTGATGTTAACTATATTATTTCAGACGCCTTCAAATAACTCAGTTAGGAAGGCAACGTTGCATGCTGAAGGCGTTTTACCACTAAAGTACTGACCAACTAACCTTTAAGAAAATATCTATAACTTCAATATAAAGAAAGCCAAATTATTTTGTCCAACGTAAGCCAAAAGTGACGGAGAATGTTTCGTTATAATTCTGGAAAATTAACCTTTAGTAAACAAGTTATCTTTCGACATAATTAGGCAGAAAATAGAAAATTAATTTCTGAACTTTCTTTGGATGAATGAGTTGCTTTTAGATCTTCAATATTCAATTATATTGACTCGTTCACGCATTGATGTCAACTCTCGGATAATCTTCAAATAAGACTTCTCTGTTGGTAGATCCCTCATTCGTACATTTTAAGTCCAGTTTTCTATTCACTAGAGATCACTTCATTATTTTTCTTTAGTTTTTTTCTGAAGTTATAAGTTTGGTAAATGCACTCAAATTTAAATGTATTCCGTGCTGTGACATTCCAAAATTCGCCTTTTAACCGAAAGGAAGCCCATTGTTGGGACCGCGGTTTGTGGAGTACACGCTAATAATTTCAGAACGTATATGCCGTCGTCACTTTGACATTCCGTTTCTTTCTAAAATTGTTTTACTTGTGCCAATATTTTAAACTTCAAAGTGGCTTTCTTTACCTATATGAGAAAGCAAATCAAACTTTTCCACTCTGATAACTCACGTGTCCAAGGAAGCGTGAGAGAAATATGCTAAGTGCAAAGAATGCATGGTGCCTGTTGGATCTAAGAATAAGAAGTGCAAACATTATTGTTCAGCGTCGATTTTCAGATCGCCTGAAAGCTTAGATTTCAGTACAAAAGAAAAGATTTGGATTGTTTGTGAAGGCCTTTATTCGTGGTGAGCAGTGAATTGAAACAATTAGCAGCTTCTGTAAACAGTAATGTGGACACTATGCATCATGAAGTTTTCCTAGATCACGATGATGAAACCAAATGCTTAACACAAAATGGACTCCCGACAGATTGTCCCTTGTTTAATTGTTTTGTCGTTTTTTTTGTTTGTTTTTTTTTCATTTTATTAGGAGATCGGTTGATCAAACGGGGAGTTAAATCAGTATCCAATCAAGCGTCACGAGTTAAACCGCGGTGACCATTATTCGAATTTGATGTTAAAAGCCGCCAAGAAATCTCCTGAAAGAAAATGTTCGGCGTGTGTGGTTAGTTAGACAAAAAGTTTGCGACTGTGTATATGTTTACAGCAGATTTACGTGAAGATCTGCGTTAAGACCCCTTCGAAACAAATCTTAGAATTTCGTAAGGTTGGTTTTGCAAGGATCTTTGTGTCATCGTGATGGGCGTAAACGCGTAGGGAAATTTCAAGGTTTTGTTCTTGTTTCCGGAAAAAGCTCAAAGTAAATTTCTATATGTTATATCGCTCAATAGAACCGCAATGTATCAGCAGGTCATTGATCACAGGGGAATACGATGCAGCCAAGAGAGTCTTAGCAAAAAGGTTTCGCAAATCAAATGTAATTTGCTTGATGTGTAATTATGTGGATTAATCGAAAATTATGCAAAATTCTGAGACAGCCCTGGCTTTATAAGAGACCAAATCAAACTCATCTGATATATTGCTCACTTCATGATATTATTTTACCAGAAATTTGTTTAAGCGGCACTTGTCAGTTATTCACCTTTTCACGTATAACGTCACGTGATTTTTGATGTAAACAAACCGCGAAAGTTCGGACATTGAGTCAACCACCCACTACTCGCGTACGAACTTCGGCTTCGACATTTTGTTGTTAATAATTTCCAAGGTCGTGAAGCGTTTCTTTGCTCAAAATTGAATTATCTTTTGTATTATATGTTTGATTATTTATCAAGCGAGTTGATATTTCGCTACCGCTAAAGTGGATGCCAAGAATGTAGCAGGAAGCGTTTCCTCCCAACTTCACGCTGCATAAAAATGAATATAAAACATTGATGGTTAAACCGAATGCTAAAAGTAAAGCTTAGCTCTCTCGCCTATTGACTTTCACAGTTTGACTCAGTTGTAACTTTACGGCTTTAATTAATATTTTGTGAATTAGAAATACCTTGGACAAGAATGAACATTTCTTTTTGGTTAATTCAAACGTATCATTTAAAAAGAGTTTAAGATGCCTCGTTGAAAATTCTGTTGAATTGTGAGAAATGCTTAATATTATTTTGTTCGCCGGTATGGTACTGCCAAACGAATTCAGCTCGTGGGCTGATAGCATGACTTACAGTTTTATATCTTGCACAAAGTCAATTGTTATAAAGAAGAAATGATTCCACAATTTCACATTATTGTTACTATTATTAAAATTATTATTATCGTTGTTTTCGTAACTGTCATTAGCTCTATTATCAGTATTATAATTGTTAATATAACTATTGTTATCACCATTTTAGTAGAAACAAATTTTGGTGAACAAGTCCACAAATTGCGCCCTTGACATGCCACCAGGGAAAATACTATTGCTGGTGAGTTATGATCATTTTAACGAAGATTGTCCCCTTTTTTAAGACACCTGTGGTAAAAACATATACAGCAAAGCATTTTAGTGGGTAGTTTACGATCAGGCTCTAAATTAACAGTAATTCCCGTTCTTCTTTCTCGCCGCTTTACCCCTACTTCCACTAAGCTTATGGTAACCCTCTCGCAAGCTACCAGCAGGGTGGTCTTCTACAAGGTCATCCTGTATGACTCCCTGCATTGCTGTGCAAGGGTGTCTAATTGCCAAGTAATCTGGCCAACTGTTACAGGCCACCCAGGCCCTTCATCTGCAGTTCAATTTGCTGGCTGTTCAAGGAAATGGTTGGCTTATATGATATAATTCCCCTTTCAGTAACTATACCTGCATATCCTTCTGGCCTACCCCTCATCGTCCACCCCACAGTCTAACAATTCCGGCTCCAAATAAGATGAATTCTCCTATGTTTTCACTCAGTCGAGGGGTGATTTTCTTTTAAAAAAAAACGAATAAACATTTCGCATCGTGCTTTTCAATACAATTTTTTTCCATGATATTGTACCTAACTGACTCTGCCTTGCTCGCTTGCTTCTTTCTGCGCTCCTTCAGCAGCGAACTAAGTCTGCCCTTCCTCTAATATTACAGCTGGCGTTCTTCGTCGCAGTTAATTTGATAACTGCCAGACCAGGTTCTGCTCGGAATCCAATGTACGACCATGATATTGTGTATGGAAGCAGCCTCCAAGATCAACCTCTCTCAGAGCTGGACAATTTAGAAAAGTGGGGCGGCCAAGACGAATCCGGTCCTGAAATCAATAAGATGAACGCAGAAATGAGTGGAATTGACGATATGGACGAGCAGGGAAGCAAAGACGAACCCAGTCTTGAAATCAATCAGATGGATCTAAAAGTGGGTGAAATTGACAATATGGAAGAGCGAGGCAGCAAAGACGAACCCAGGCCTGAAATCAATCAGATGGACGCAGAAATGAGTGGAATTAACAATGTGGACGAGCAGGGCAGCAAAGACGAACCCAGGCCTGAAATCAATCAGATGGACGCAGAAATGAGTGGAATTAACAATGTGGACGAGCAGGGCAGCAAAGACGAACCCAGGCCTGAAATCAATCAGATGGACGCAGAAATGAGTGGAATTAACAATGTGGACGAGCAGGGAAGCAAAGACGAACCCGGTCCTGAAATAAATCAGATGGATCCAGAAGTGGGTGAAATTGACAATATGGACGAGCGGGGCAGCATAGACGACCTCGGTCCTGAAATCAATCAGATGGATCCAGAAGCGAGCGGAGTTGACAACATTCAAGATGAAAATGGTAATCCTAAACTTAAAGGAAGAGAAGCATATATCCTCCAAAGGTTACCCATTACCTATACTCTCTTGCTGCTCTGTATTGACAAGTGTAAGCAAACATCAAAGCAATTTTTTTCTGCCTTTGCCGTCAGGGAGTATCAAGTACTATAAGAGAGGAGTAAGTACCGTAACAAAACAGATATCAAAATTTAGCCCACAATCTCTGTCGACTCGACTATTATAAGAATGAACAACAAGTGGCACACAAGCACCTCTTTGCGATTTCAATACCTTGCGTCCACATAGAAAACACAGGATTCAAACTTTAACTTTTTTGTCATCAGCCTTATCAAAAATTATACACTTCTAAAACACCGCGAGTCACTGGCTTGCGTAGCTATGTATGACTCGTATAGCACAACTGGGTTCTGACCGCCCGAAAGCAAACCCCCTAGCTATTACAACGCTCAGGGGCTGTACTCTGAGATATGGGGTAACATTTATCGGTAAAGTCGATTTGCTTTTTTTCTCTTTCATTTTTTTCCGCAGATCCCGCGACTGAGGAACCAACAACGGAGGAACCTATCATTATCATAACATGCGGACCACCTAAAAAGCCTGAGACTAACGCCCCACCGACTGAGAAACCTGTTACAGTCGCCCCACCCACGGAGAAGCCCGTACCTAAACCTAAACCTAAACCTAAACCACCTGTTAAGAAACCTAAAAGTTAGTGAATTTTGCAACCATAACGCGGGGCCTTCTTTTCAAGTGGGTGGCGAGTTTCTGTGAAAAACAAATCACTGTGTTTCATTCTATAATCGTGACCTCCCTCAAATTAAAACCGGTTGGAATTACTGCAAGTCAATGTGGAAACAAACTTGTGGCGCGGGGTTAAAGAATTCGGAAAAATATTCCCATTGCCTTGTAATTTCTGGCAACACCTTTTGTGCAAAAACCGTAGTATTTCACAGCTAAACCTGACTTTTTTACCTTTTTTTAATCAGAGACCAAGGGTGCTGTCACACTTACTCATTCTTGTATTGATATATTTATTTTCTTCACATCAACAGAGAAAGGAAAAAAAGGAAAAGGAAAGAAGGGAAAGAAAGGAAAAGGAAAGAAAGGAAAGAAAGGAAAGAAAGGTAAAGAAAATAACAAAATAAAGGTAACAATTGTTTATCAAAACCGAAAAAATTTAACCAGTACAGCGTGTTCCAAGAGAGACAGTTACAGACGATAGGCGTATTGTTAATCAAAAATAACTCAACTTGATGAAGGGGGGGGCACTAATTGACATGTATAATTAAGTTAAATTTGATCATTCCAAGCCCTCAAAATAACTGCAAACTTATTAAAGGACCTGCCTCACGGCTTGCTTCATATTCTTCATACCTAACGATCCTTCTTTCATTTTAATTTACCCTTACCCTTTGGATTTCGTCCACCCTGTTATTGTTTTTTTGTTTGTTTGTTTGTTTGTTTTTTGTTTTTTTTCTAAGGTTTAGCTTTAATTGTAAAACTGTAACAATAAGTCAAGTTATCACATGACCCGTATGGCCCTGAGTGTTCATTGTTGAAAAACATTATCACAAAACAAACTTAAGGAGGAGGCCAATGGAAGTGAATGCACTAACAGGGCTCTAAAGTGCTGCAAGGCTCAGCGTTGGTTCCTTCTAGCAGAGAGAAGAAAAAAGTAACGAGAAAAAGCGGACGTCATAAAGTTAAATGCCTATTGATTGGGTAGAGTCGGGTAGAAAAAAGAAAAAGGAAGTTCTGTACTCGAACCAAGTAACCCATGCAATCGGAGCTTATCCTGATTTCCAAACCATGAAGCGACTGGGAGTATTACCACTCCCCCCCTAGATAGGATGTCACTCCTTCGCTATCCATCACCCAGTGTTTTTCCAATACGTTACACGGCCTGCAAGTGTCCAATAAAGACCTCTATTCGTGGAGTTCCGCGCATTTTCCATAAGGCCACCGTATTTCAGACACCCGGCCGGACGGAAAAACATTTTGCCCCCAGTCATGCCGTACGTACCTAGCATAGCGGGCCACACATTTTCCCATCCGATCTTCCACCCAGTCAATGAGTACACATTATTGAAACTCTTTCCTGTCTGATTCACTTCTTCACAAATATAAATTTATAGGGTAAATGGGTGGACAAGGAACTTAAACTTTCTTTTCCATTCCCAATGGAACTTGGTTTTTTTTTTCTCTTTTTTTAAACAGGATAAAGACGAAGAGGTCGAGGACGAGGTCGACGAAATATGAAACAAAACTTTGGCAATAAACTTTTGTGTCGACTGGCATACTTCTTATTTAGTTTTCTCCCACCCGCGTGATACTGGGTCAGATGTGAAATTTCAGATGTTTGTTGTTATTCAGCCTTTCACCCCTAAGAGTGACCAGCGTCCAAAATGTAACTTCTCCTTACCATATCACCCCTGAATCACCTGTTAACCCTGAGGGTCACAAGAATAAAGGAAATGATCATCAACTAAAGAAGCTCTTGATTGTTGAACAAATTCTCCTTGTCAGATCCTTCAGACATGTATAGAGAACAGTAGGGAGAGGATTCGTACTGATTTTAGGGTGTAATGGGTTAAACGGCGGCGCGGGTAAGGTAATTATGTGAAGTGATCCAGCTCAACAGGCGGCCTTCGCATAGTTTGGTAAGAGCACCAGGTGGGGTTGAGTCTTTTGTCGATTTTCTTCGTTGCTATGCTGTTTTATTTCGGTTTTTGCGCCGTTGACAATAGTCGATACGTTTACTTCTAATTTGACCTGGAGGGTAGAGGAAGAGCCACTTCTAGTCCGTACTAAGCGTTCAGGTAGTAAACGGAGCGCGATGATAGAGCAGACTGAAATTGTAGGGAGATGAGGATTTAGTTCGCCTTTAAAAAGCTGGTAACCTGTTCCAGTAGTTCAGCAAGAGAAATAACGCGAAATCCACGCGATATAGTAAGTGGCGATTGAAGCGGCAGAGGGAAAAACGGGGGAGGTTTGGGTCGAGTCGCGTAAAGAATGGCGTCATAACGCGACTCGACTCAAGCTTCTCTCGTTTCTTTTACTCGTCCGCTACTGTATAGCGCCGTTTACTATTGCGCTTCGTCTTACAAACTAATAGTCTGGAACAGGCTAAATAGCTGGCTGGGAGCTCTACAATAGAGCTTTTGATAACTAAGAATGAATTTGCGAGTCAGGCGTCACATTTGGTCAACACAGGCTACACCCCGCCGTGACTCCAACTCTTATCGCAAATGACACGATAACTTTTTCATTCATGATTTTGCTGCTAAAAAACTTGATGGCGAAGGATGTATTGAAGTGGTCATGTTTTTCATGCCACATCACTCACTCGCTACAGAGTTGTTCGTTAAATTGGAGCAATTTCTTTCTCTCAACATATTATTATCTCAAATGGTGACGTTTGCATAATTAGTAGCAACTCTGGTGATGCAGGCTCTAACATTCTTCTCAACCAACCTAGTTATAGGCTAACTCATCGGAGGGGGCGAAGCAAGTAGGTAGCTTATCGGACAAAATAATGCGCTCATAAATCTTCAAGCTTACCTCAGTCTGCTTCAGTCTCCAAAACTCATCACATGTGGCTGAATTTACTAATCTTTTGACTCATTTAAATTTTATCAAACAATTTCCGCATTTCAAATTAGCTTTAAAAGTTCATTGTAGCGCACAGCCCATTACGAATGACAAGGAATAAATTACTCGTTATTGGTCGTGCCTAGCTCACGAGTGATGCTGTTATAGAAGAATTGTGGCAAGATGGCAAGTCTTAAGTAGGTCCAGAGACTTTTAAGCGAAGCTCATCATATTATCTTTAGCACATTCAAAAGCACTCCATGGCAAGCTGGCTTACGCTTCGTGTGGTGAGTAACTCAGTAAAATGTTCGGCAAAAATGGCTGATCACATATATTATCTCTTGATCTCAATTCCAGTGTTATTAAAGCCGAAGCAAAAATTTGGTCTCGAATCTCACCAAGAAAGTTTTTTATCACAACATTCTTTAAAACACTAATAAACCTCTTTAACAAAAAATTTATACTTGGGTGAGCGGAGGAGAGTATTTTAATTCAGCGAAAAAATCCAGTCTCCTCAACAAATAAACGATCAGTTTTTAAGCTCATTTGATGTAGAAGTTGCTTCCTGGCATCTTGTTTTAATGAGTTTAGAAGCAAACCTTGTGGTAAACTGTGCGTTTCGATAATGCCAGAATGTTGGATATATTACACTGACAGCCAGGAGGGAATAAAGTTCCATGTTATGGTTTTCCTTTTTCCCTTTCGGCACCCAGACCACTAACTCTGTAATAATATACATTCTTCATCAATTGGATTACTAAGATGACAATTTTGTTTAGATCTTTCGAGGTAAATTTGCTAATGGAGTACTTAATTGTCAGAGCCAGACTTACTGATGTTCTATTTTATGTAGAAAATACTTTGAAAGCCCCCGCACATGCCGCACACATAGAGGTGTATGAATCAAAGGCATGCCTAACACTCATTCGAGCTCCAAGTGTCTGTTTCGATATTTCCGAAAGTATCAATTGAATAGTAACTTTCCTTTTAAGATAAAATGAACACTCTTTAGGTAGAGTAAAGAAAAATGCGTCGTAAACCTTTCCAGAAAAGTTTTTTTAAAATAGAAAAAGCAACTTAGAAAACGGAAAATTAGACGGAGCGGAACGAAAAGTATTCAATTCCTTAGAGATACTTAAGTCACAAAGAAAGTACCCTACGGCTAAGATTAACAGGGAAAAAGTGAAAATAAGAATACTGTCAAGAAAAATTTTTGTGGAGACATATTGAAGAGAAAAACAGGCATTAATCTTTGGTTACATACTTATTAACTATATAGCCCACAACATGAATTGGATTGTTATCAGGTGCAGACGACTAGGAAAACCAATTGGTCCGAAACGTATGTTATTAAACTGCTCTGTTAAAATTGTATGCTTTGATTTTAATCACTGCACCAGCTTCGGTCAATCTCTTGTGACAAACAGTCGCGTAAGGAATTAATCAAATTAAAGCGAGGAGTATTTTGGCCAAGAAAGATTACTGCTCTTGGATTTTGTTACAGGTTACCTAAGTTATTAGTAGGCTGTTTAGTATTTTTTCCCTCTACGAAAGCGGAAAAAATGAAAACAATCTAATATAGTTATTAAAACATGACCTTTAAACAAAAAAAGGTGAAATAAGGAGTGAACTTGGCACCCGTGGTTAAAATGCTTACAAATAAAACCTAAGAGGAAATTAAGAGAATATTAAATAGCTATTTCATGAAGGAATGTTTTCATAGTAGCGAGAAAATCCACAAAACAAATTTACTGCCGGAGAGCATTTTGAAGGTTACTTCACCGATTTTTGGCCGCATCGACCAATGACTATAAATTGCCACGAATTTTTGCCAATAGCATCCCTCCCACACTTATGACATCGCCGTCGACATGCTTACGTACATTGAAAGAGGAATAAATTTAATTTTTATGAACCGCGCATAATAAAGAGCTTTTTCTTGTAATTCCGGACCACAATAATTTCATAGGAAGTATGCTCGATCGATGTTGAGACTTCAGAGACTTCAGAGGTTGTTGTCAGTTTAAAATGTGTCGGCGAGCTTGTGCATGTGACTCCAACAATTGGTTAACCTTGTCTTATATCTACGTAGCGTATCTCTCCTAAGTATTCTTCTGTCTTTGCGTCTTGTTGTTTATCCTGTCTTGACGAACAATGTCATGTCATGCGTGACTAACGGATAATGATTGGAGGGAGACTGGGTTTGAAAAGGATCAATAATTTCAAAGGTTTTCTGTCACTTAAGCCTACCATAAACACACAATATATTTGGTTGAGGCCACAACAGAAACAGATCTTGGTTAACAAGTATAGATCGATATATATTTATCTACTTCTAATGAATTATCACTGCCCACAGATTTACTGAATATTTTATGAGTAATTCAAGTCTACGCTATTTGAAGCAGTATAGTAAATTCCTTCTTTTATCTTCCTTTCTTCCAGTTAGTTTTGTTTGCAGCAGTTACTTCGTCAAATGCACAGTTTCCCTTACGTCAAGAAAATGTCTTCGATACAGGTGAAAATAAAAGTACAAAATTAAAGAAAAGTGAAGTTTGAAGTCTAACATTTAACGTTCCAAAATTTAATAATTAATGATAATTTAGGTATCATAAAGAAAGCTACGGCTTCAACGAATCGATGCTACCCATCTTTCAAAACATGATAAATTATAGTCACTCGTATCTCGTTGTGACATTAAAGGAATTATAGAAGACTTTTCTCACCATTTCTTTAAAAAATAAGACGGTCCTGTTTTGGTAATCAACCACTTGTTCTATTTTAGATGAACTCATAAAGAAACGATTGGAAAAGCTACACCAGGATTCGCTAAGGACAGATCCGTGTGACGCCCTCAATGGCAATTGCAACGAGGCCAATAATGATTGGTATAGACCAATGGATGAAGATATTGACCGACTGATTTATCAGATAAGAGGTACCTCGTATAAATTTATGCGTTAATGACCAAAATAGTTGAATCCCTTCTCAACCTCTTCACTCCCACAGGCGACCAATAAGTAATTGATTCTTGTAAAAATCAACACAATGATACGTAGACTGATGAAAAGAACGTGGAATAATGTCATCTTGAGTGTATTGTTCATTTATTGAGCAGTTATCAGCGAATGCCAAGACTGAGTTATTTCACACAACGACCATAGAGTTGCAATACGAGTAATGGACGATTATTACCTGAATGAATTTGTATCTTCTCAGTATTGAAATAAAACTTGAGTGAAAGTAAGGGAGTAAATAAACGAAATAAATCATGCATCGAGCTTGTAAAGTTATTATCACGTTCATTTCCTGATAGAATGAAGTCCACTTTGACTTCGTCTTGCCCACTCTTTGACAAATTTCAGTGAAGTCTTACATTTACCACTGATTCCAAAACCGTTCACAAAAGGGCCATATTGCTTATTCGTTGAAAGAGAATAAAGTGTAAAATGCTCGTAAAACGGTCAGCGATGCATTAGGATCCTACGGCCAATCTCTTGGAAAAAAGAAAAAGACTCAAATTTCAAATCTGTTCGTACAACTCCTTTCAAAACTAAAAGAAAATGACAGAAAATATAACTATTTTTCACAGAAAAACGCATCGAACCGCTCCTCCAACAACGTGTTAAGGAGGGGGTGGCCAGAGATGAAGGTAGCATAGAGACAAAGCACGCTGAAGAAAGCGTAACTGAGGAAGCAGTGAGTGGAGAGGGTGCCACGGAGGCAGAGGTCACTGACGAAAGTAAGGAAGGTACTGTGGAGGTGCCAGGAAGTGGAAATGGGGCTACTGAGCCAGTGGCCACTGAAGAAGCGGCTACGGAAACAGCGATTGGAGAAGGCGTGACGGAGAGGGCTGCGAGTGGAGAAGGGGTTACGGAGGCAGGAGCCACTGATGAAGTTGTTACAGAGCAAGTGGCTAGTGGAGAAGGCGCTACAGAGGCAGAAGCCACTGAGAAAGAGGCTGCAGAAAGTGGGCAAGGTACTGTGGAGATGCCAGGAGGTGGAAAGGGCGCTACGGAGCCAGGGGCTACTGAAGAAGGGGCTACGGAAGCGGCGAGTGGAGAGGGCGTTACGGAGGCAGGAGCCACTGATGAAGGTGTTACAGAGCAAGTGGCTAGTGGAGAAGGCGCTACAGAGGCAGGAGCCACTGAGAAAGAGGCTGCAGAAAATAGGCAAGGTACTGTGGAGATGCCAGAAAGTGGAGATGGCGCTACGGAGCCAGGGGCTACCGAAGAAGGGGTTACGGAAGCGGTGATTGGAGAGGGTGTGACAGAAGCGGCTGCTAGTGGAGAAGGCGTTACGGAGGTAGGGACCACTGATGAAGGTGTTACAGAGCATGTGGCTAGTGGAGAAGGCGCTACAGAGGCAGAAGCCACTGAGAAAGAGGCTGCAGAAAATAGGCAAGCTACGGAAGCGGCGAGTGGAGAAGGCGTTAAGGAGGCAGGAGCCACTGATGAAGGTGTTACAGAGCAAGTGGCTAGTGGACAAGGCGCTACAAAGGCAGGTGCCACTGAGAAAAAGGCTGCAGAAAATACGCAAGGTACTGTGGAGGTGCCAGAAAGTGGAGATGGCGCTGCGGAGCCAGGGGCTACTGAAGAAGGGGCTACGGAAGCGGCGAGCGGAGAAAACGTGACGGAGAGGGCTGCGAGTGGAGAAGGCGTTACGGAGGCAGGAGCCACTGATGAAGGTGTTACAGAGAAAGTGGCTAGTGGGGAAGGCGCTACAGAGGCAGGAGCTACTAAGAAAGAGGCTGCAGAAAATAGGCAAGGTACCGTGGAGGTGCCAGAAAGTGGAGATGGCGCTACAGAGCCAGGGGCTACCGAAGAAGGGGCTACGGAAGCGGTGATTGGAGAGGGCGTAACGGAAGTGGTTGCTAGTGGAGAAGGCGTTACGGAGGTAGGGACCACTGATCAAGGTGTTACAGAGCAAGTGGCTAGTGGACAAGGCGCTACAAAGGCAGGAGCCACTGAGAAAGAGGCTGCAGAAAATACGCAAGGTACTGTGGAGGTGCCAGAAAGTGGAGATGGCGCTACAAAGCCAGGAGCTACCGAAGAAGGGGCTACGGAAGCGGCGAGTGGAGAGGGCGTGACGGAGAGGGCTGCGAGTGGAGAAGGCGTTACGGAGGCAGGAGCCACTGATGAAGGTGTTACAGAGCAAGTGGCTAGTGGGGAAGGCGCTACAGAGGCAGGAGCTACTAAGAAAGAGGCTGCAGAAAATAGGCAAGGTACTGTGGAGGTGCCAGAAAGTGGAGATGGCCCTACGGAGCCAGGGGCTACCGAAGAAGGGGCTACGGATGCGGTGATTGGAGAGGGCGTGACGGAAGCGGTTGCTAGTGGAGAAGGCGTTACGGAGGTAGGGACCACTGATCAAGGTGTTACAGAGCAAGTGGCTAGTGGACAAGGCCCTACAAAGGCAGGAGCCACTGAGAAAGAGGCTGCAGAAAATACGCAAGCTACTGTGGAGGTGCCAGAAAGTGGAGATGGCGCTACAAAGCCAGGGGCTACCGAAGAAGGGGCTACGGAAGCGGCGAGTGGAGAGGGCGTGACGGAGAGGGCTGCGAGTGGAGAAGGCGTTACGGAGGCAGGAGCCACTGATGAAGGTGTTACAGAGCAAGTGGCTAGTGGAGAAGGCGCTACAGAGGCAGGAGCCACTGAGAAAGAGGCTGCAGAGAGTGGGCAAGGTACATTGGAGGTTCCAGAAAGTGGAGAGGGCGTTACTGAGACAGGGGCTACTGAAGAAGAGACTACGGGAGCGGTAAGAAGGAAAGGCATGACGGAGGAGGCTACTAGCGGAGAAGGCGCCACAGATGCGACGACAACCGAGGAAATCGTTACGGAGGTGGAAGTTAGTGGAGAAGGAGCCACGGAGTTAGAGGCCCTTAAAGAAAGTGTTACAAAGCAAGAAGCCATGCGAGAAGGTGCCACAGACGCAAAGACTACCGAGGAAACCGTTACGGAGGTGGTAGCTAGTGGAGAAGGCGCCACGGAAGCAGGGACTGCTAAAGAAGTACTTATAGAAGCAGCAAGTGGGGATGGTGCTACAGAGGCAGAGGCCACAGAAGAAGGTGGAACGGACGCAGGGGCCATCGAAGGAGGTGTGACAGAGCCGGCTACCAATGGAGAGGGCGGTACAGAGGCAGGGACCACTGAAGAAGGTACCACGGAGTTGGTGGCTGGTGGAGAAGGCGCTACAGAGGTGAAGACAACCGAGGAAATCGTTACGGAGGTGGAGGTTAGCGGAGAAGGCGCCACGGAGGCAGAGACCACAAAAGAAGGTGTTACAGAGAAAGCAGCTGGTGCAGAAGGCGCTACAGAGGCGAAAACTACAGAGGAAATCGTTTCGGAGGTGGTAACTAGTGGAGAAGGCGCCACGGAGGCATGGACTGCTAAAGAAGTAGTTACGGAGGCAGCAAGTGTGGATGGCGCTACTGAGGCAGAGGTCACAAAAGAAGGTGGAACGGAGGCAGGGGCAACTGAAGGAGGTATTACAGATCCGGCTGCCAGTAGAGAGGGAGTTACAGAGGAAGGGGCCACTGAAGGAGGTGTGAAAGACTGTTTCATTGAGCTTTTATTGTATTTTAACCCCTCTTTTTTCGTGGGTCGTATGGTTCCCCTTTTCACTGACCTCTTCTCCTACAAGGTTAGCAGTACACATAGCGATAATTTATTCCTGGTTGGTTCATCAACTATCATTTATGTTATGGTTATCAGTTCAGTCGTTACGAACGATTAACGATTAACCTGTTCAGTGTGTTTTACTGAACGAGATATATCGTGATGTAACGAGTAGATTATCCAAGTTATTTTCGTAACGGGGTAAACTCAAAAGATATATTAATCGAAAGATAGGATCGCAAGTTCAGTCTATCACTCCGTCAGTAAAGTATGTATAGCCAAATTAATCGTGTTGGTGAGACGGAGAGACCTTTGAGAACTAGATCATAGTACGCCTTAGATAACTAAAGGTTTCTAAATGAAACCACAAAAATAAATATTAAAAAATTCGCTCTATTTCATGAGAATGAAGGACAAGATGAACTTTTAATCCTGGAATGATCACGTTTCGAACAAATGGTTTCGATTAGGGTTCTTTATATGTATAAGTAAAGTCATCTTAAATTTTGTTCTCGTTTTTCTTGAGGTTGTGGTGGCGTCCTTTCTGGAGACCAAGGAGGTTTCTCTTCACCTGTATTCGATGGGGAATACTATCCAAACAATGCAAACTGTGTATGGAGGATATATGTCAGGAAGGGCTTTAAACTGCGTATCACTTATGAGTATTTTGATACAGAAGAGCAGTGAGTACATAGAGAATATTACATAAAAAGTTCGCGCGAACGAATGTTATTCACGAGTTGCGATACATCAAAAATTCGAACGTGTGAGCGTAGCGAACGAGTGAGTTTTAAGATGCACTGCAACGAGTAAATTAAAATCGTTCAAGCACTTTCAATAGTATGATGTTTATATTTCATACGTATTGAGATTTTTTCGAGATTGATTGGAAGAGAACGACTTTTAAAATACATCGTTCGTCCTAATGAGACACGAACGATAGTACTTTACATTGTGAATCTCAGTATGTATGAAACAAATGACGATTTGCAGGTCTTTGAGGATGGACTTGGTTTGTCTATCGCAAGAATACACATTTATTACTACTGAGAGGGATTGAACGGGGTTTGTTTGTGTGCACCTATCTAACTTTTGAGTGAGAGCATTCCTTGACGAATGATGAAATAATGCGGCAAGGATCAAACGAACCATGGAATCAAAGAAACGTGAATCGACACTCTCCCTTCGTGAAATAATAAAAATCGACACTCATCTTTTGTAAAATAAGAAAAAACTGATAGACTGACGAAGCTTACCCCTTCGTTTTTTTCGGCGGGAAATTCCACAGGTGAAAAAGTACGTCCACACAAGAAAATTCATTGTTTAATCAGCAGATATTGAAAATTTCAAGTGTCTACAGGGTTCCTTACCGTAGAGGTGAATCTGAAAATTCTCCAAATATTTTGATGTTTCTACGGGCGTACAAGAACGAATTCTTTGCAAGATTTCTACATGAAAGCGGTATCTATTTGGGATAACGAATAAATTTTCTATGAAATGCGACATTAAGGGGTATCAATTTTGTTCCACCATTTCGGAGAGGTGTCCTATAAGAATCTCTTTGATACTCTCTTTCTTTGTTTCAGCTTTGACTATTTGGAAATTTTACAGGGGAACAAAGAACTGTACACAATCCGTGGACACAAAGATGCCAACTATCAAACTACAGTTTATGGCAATAACGAAATCGTTGCCATTCTTTTTCGCTCTGATGCCCTCATAGCCCACAAAGGATTTAAGGCCACTTTTAAGATCACCGCCGGTAGGTGAAATGATGTCAATGCCTTGTCCTCATACTCTACATGGCTGAGTGATGTTTGAAGCGTTGTAATATGAAGAAGTATAGCTTTTACTGTAGGAAGATGGTGGAACACGGCTTTTATTCGGTTAGTTCTGCTTTGGGCCCAAACAGCCGTTGAAATTGAAGAAAGAAAAACATGCATAGTCATCTTATATTCTTAACAAAGGTTTCGTTTACTTTTTCTGATATCTCCTTTATTTGTTAGGGTCGCGTTGTGGAGGCCAGCTGAAGGACAGAAAGGGACACTTTGAGTCGCCGAACTTTCCAGGAAACTACCCTGACAACACTGATTGTTTCTGGACTGTAACGATTAAATCTGGCGAAAGACTTAGAATCCAGTTTGACAGATTTCAAACAGAACATGCGTGAGTTGACGTTCATTTCCTTCTCGTTGGTCGAGTGAGAATTATTTACTAAATTTTAGTTCAGGGATGTTCCTTCTCAAAGCCCGGAGTGACTCGGGGATATTCTTGGTGGTATGTGGAATATATTTCCCAAAATTTGAACCCCGTTCATAAATTGCATTTTGACTAGAGCATTCATATGGGAGATTTAACCCACAATCTCGATCAGCAAAGAGAGGGGGTGGACTGGGGCTAAAAAGTAACATAGGTAAACAAACCATTACAGTTTCGCAATTTGATGTAAAAGCACTATACAGTTCAATCTGTCAACTTTACCTACAGATTCGACACCTTGAAAATTGATGTAGGAGAACGGACGGTTAAACTTCTCAGCGGATATCTACGTAAGCTAGATGTGGTAATTCCTTATAAGGAAGAGGACGGTGATGAAATCAACATTTACTTCCATACTGACGTGACCATTTCAGGAAAAGGATTCCACGCCACTTACGAAATCGAACCCACCAACGTAAGTAATATAATCTGTCAGAGTAGGAATGTTGACTGTGCTATCTAACCGTCTTGATTGGTTGCCAATCAATAAATGGGATTTTCGTGTTGAAAATCATTGTCTTAAAAAGAATGATAATCCCTACAGGGGAATAAGGGCGCGTAGAAGGCCGAAAAGGCCGCACGGTCTAGCGTATGGCCCCTCAAGATGAAGGTTGGAAAAAGGTGCAAGAACTAAGAAAGCGAGAAAGAAGAACGGGGATCCTAAGATGGAATGCTTATTGAACGAGTTAGGTCTGACTGAACCTCAGGGTATCCCAGGAATAATCATCTTTAAAATGAACGAGGGAAAAGTCTAGCTTGGACTGGCCCTTATTATCAGCGCTTTAGCACTAGCGTTTGAAAGGACTGGTGAAAGGACTGCAAGGTCTGGAAATGATAAGCGTCAGACCCCTGGAAAAGCTCTCCCCACCTCGTGTCAAATCTTCCCGCAGGCGGAGAAGCGTGCATCCTACTGCGGTACTAGTAATGACGGCCTGCTCACAAGCCAGAAACAGTAAAGAATTGATGAATATGAAATCTTGCTACAATGAGTGGGACTTTTCCCGCCTCCTAGAGAGGGTAGTTTTCCTCCTTTTTTATGATTAGCTCTTTTTTTCTTTATTTAAATAGAGAAAGCACTGACTATTTAACGCTTCTTCTCCTTTTTTCTTTCAACAGGACTTGGCTAAAAAGGATTTCATATAATTATTAAAAAGAAAAAAAAAGGACTAGCTGCAAATGAAACCTAACTTAAATTGGTTTAGGATTTTCGAATACTTGAAGCAAAATTACTTAATTGTTGATAGCTTAATGTTTCAATGGATACATTACATCTCAGCGCAACGATTTGCATTAATTATTAGACTTTTGTAATGTAGTTAATAAAAGGTTCTGACAAGGGCTTAATTCTGTTTTTGACTTTTTGTTTGCTATATTTCGTTTTAATTGGGAATATTTTAAAGATGGCACCCGTCTGAATGAGATTTTGATATAAAAACTATAAATTTTGTCTACTTCATAAGAGTACGTGAATAGCAGATATGAATGTAGCTGTTTTGATATTAAGGACACTCGACTCCGTTAATTACTTCAGTACTCTTACTCGTATACCAAGGGTTGTAATCCCTTTCGTAATTCGAAGACTCAGTGAGGAACGTGGATGAGAGGGGAATTCATTCCGTTAAACACACCTTAGTTGATAGCTAAACGTTTTTGATCACACCACACACCGCTTGAGGCGACAATGTGAGGCTGCTCCGAATTGACAAAAACAAACAAAAAGCAAAAACAAAAAACCGCTCACAAGCTGAAAAAAATTGCAGCGCCTGACAGGGGCAAAACAAGGCAATGGCGGTTCTCGGACATAGCTATAATCACTCTGTTGGCACCAATTCGAATGATCACCATCAATTTTGGGCTGTGTAATTTTCAGCGATGTTACTGCATTACAACGATCGACGAACGTCAGAGAAATTGCCTTGGAATGGACTGAACTGAAGCTGTAAAAGTAAAACGCTATTGACACCTTTTTGCCAAGGATGTTTACACTTGACAATTCAACAAGTATCTTCCTTTTCGAATGCATGTCTTTATTTTCATAGATTCAGTCAATATTTCCTTTAATTTACTTAACGTTAAAACGAAGAGCCTAGATAGATTGAGCTCGTACAAGGCAATGCTTCTTGGAAACTGAGTCATAATCTTGTCGCGACTCAAATTGCAGGAAACATTACAAAATGAAACAAAAAAAATTTCAACGCGTTTCATTTCAAAATATAGTCAAACCAATGTCATAGCCACTTGCAAAGCAAACTCATGTGAATCTAAGACCATAAAAGCTAGCTCTATTCTCGTTAAAATTCCCCTCAAAATGCAATCCAAATAGATGTCAAAAGTAAACAGAACGCAAATAAATCAAGTACAGGGAAATAGAAGAAACACACGCTGTTACTGAAAATGCTTTTACGACCCAATTACTCCAGTTCCGTGGGACTCCATTCGCTGTGGGCATACTATTTCCGTGCGGCACTCCCTGTCCTTAAAATGTTTAAGCGACCTAGTCGGTGGAATATCTTATTTCTGGGCGCATTGTCGTGTGGTACCGGTCTTGTGTCTTGTGTAGTAAATCTGGTTTTCTTTTTTATTCTCGTTCTCTTTAACCTTTTTAAATAAATGCCTCCTCTTGCGTTCTAGATATTCAATTGTCCCACACACTGGAGATAGTTAAAATACCTTCCAAACCAGGACGGCAATATCTTCTTCCAAGCAACACTTCTTTTTTAATCACTATCGCTTTCATCTTCTACATTTTGCACAAACAGCGTTGCATTTGTTTCGATGCCAGCATCTTCCAGTGTTTGATTCTCGCTTGACGAGTCGAGCGCATACACTTTACGTGGAAAATTTGACACCAGGACGAATTCTGCCGGGGACTCTTCATCGCAAAATACAAAATCGTACAAGGCCTAAAGAAAAATGATGAAAATATGACGTGTTTCTTTAGCAACTTATTAAGTTAAGCAATCAGCGAGTTCCACTTAAGGGGGAAAGGGTAAGGTTTTTAAAGGGAGATGTAACTACGAATTTCCGCGCACCTTACGAACATTGGCCCATACCACTGCTCCTCCATGTAAATCAGCGGGTGCCTATTCATGCACCAAATGAAGTATCCAGATCTGGACAACATGGATGCCATGTAGATTCTTCGAATTCGCGCGATTTCGCTAACTTTAATCGGTACGGTACTGACGTAAAAGGAGGAAGGAAGGCAGGCAGGCAGGGTTTAGGGGCAACCTTCCCTTCTCGTTACACCCCTGACCAAGGAAGGTTATGTTAATTGTTACTAAGTGGTAGGAGCCCATCCCAGTTTCTGAAGCATGAAGCGCCTAAAAGTATTTTGTCTCTGCTTGGATGGGACAAGAAACTACTCCCCCCCAGATATTAGACTAATGTAGTTACGACGGTAAAATGCTATTAGATCGTGTCCTACCTGCAAGGGATGCGACTTCAAAAATCTCCTCTCCAGTCGTTTACCGTTGGACAATTTCATTAACACGCGGATGGCATCGGGATGCGAACTTTCCGGTTCTTCGGGAACCTTCAGTTTTCTATCGACGCGTTGTCGTGCTATGGACTTTATGGGAAAAATTAGTTATTAGTTCATCTTTAAGGTTATAAATGCTTTAAGATAGGAGTGAAAATGGATTTCCTAATGTAGTGTATGCTTTTGAACGGTGCCCACCGACGGGACGTGTCCGTTTGGGGAGTTTGGACCCTGATTTTATAGGACCTAAATAACTCTTACATGACCGCAATCAATTTCTTCATTTGATTTAAATCCGCAGGTCTCTAAATGAGATTTATTTCATAACAAATTTTATCAGATTCCCCTACGGGAGAGAAGAACCTTCTGCGATGTCCCTCGCTCTCAACGCTTAGCCTCGTAGCTCAGTAGGTAGTGGCGCCCAACTGGTATCTGGGAGGCCTAGACACGATTCCCGTTGAAGCCTGAATTTTTTCAAGGTTCTTTTCTGCAATTGCTACCTCACTTGAGATGATCCTGGCTTTATTTCATTTTTAATTTACAGATCAGATGAAAGTGACCTAATTCCAAATTGTGATAGCTACCGCGTGGCTGAAAGGACACGGACAAAGCTACTATACACGCTAGAACAAAAGCTACGATGATCATCGCACAAGTTCATTGTTCTTCACTTTTTTATCCGGTAGGTTGCATCTAAAATTAGTCAAGACCTGTTGTAGGAAACGGGAGGAAAAACGGAGACAAGGCCTAGGACATTGAGAGAGACACATACACTGCAGGGTTGTTGATAAGAGCCGGCAGCCGGCGAAGTACGCCGGCTTCTCTGCAAGGTTTCGCCGGCTACTTTCATTGCTTCGAGAGCCCGTACAGAGATGATGTTTATCAGGTCTAAACTTGGGCTCGATAAAAATATAAATTTGCACTCCCTATCTTTTCTAAAAACATAAAAAGACTTCTGACTCAAGGTTAGTTTAAAAACGTTCTGATGGGGACTGTCTTTTTGACAAATCTTGCTGCGGTGGCAGGAAAGTACGAACGATATGACGCTTTGTCCGCCATATTGGATTTCGCGACCCACAACCGTTTACCTTTATAAAAGCTCCGGCTAATTAAAACCTTAAAGAAAACCCTGACACTGGAACCGTTTTCAGGTTAGAAACCCAGCTTTATATGGATTATAAGCTACTTGTCTGAGCCCAGATAAAGTAAAAGATATTCCAAACCTCTGCTCTGTTTTGTCGTGCTTCTTTCTTCTTCCGTTTATTCTCTTCTTCTTGTCTTTTTTTGTCCTCCTCTTCTCGCTTTTTTCTTTCCTGTGAACATGCAGTTTACAGTCATGAATTTGTCTTTTCAGAAAATTTTAATACCTTTCTACCAAAACCAAAGAAGCACGAGTATCAAGCGCGGAAAAATTCACGGGACCATAAGCGAGATAAGTTCGGCCAGTTTTGGTTGGGGTGGGGAACGTCAGATCTCTGGATCAATCTCATATCATAGTTTCACAAAGCCAAAATCAATGTGACATTAGTTACGTATAACATTCAAATAAGAATTGCTCTCTCGTGTCAGTTTAACCTGCCTAAGAACATCGCTAGATTTGTTCCGCACAACGGCTGAGAATATCAAAAACAAGAGCAGTTAAAGTTTGTTCGTGAATGAAGCCGCAGAATAGCTTAAACTAACTTCTCTTATACAAAAATAATCTGTGATCAGGCGTTCCTTTTTCCGGAGGAACGCGAGTAAGAGCGTTCACCAACTCTGGCATTTCTACGTTATTGCGTTCCCCTGAAAATGGAAGGGTCTGATCGCAATTAAAAGTAATAAAACCACATAAGTAAAACAAAACAAATTAATAATTTGACACTCATATAACAAGAAAGGATATAAAACGCTTGTTATTGTAAAGAGATCAAAACTTCAGTAAAAGTCGTCTTACTTTCTCCTGGTCAGCTCTGACGGATTCATAGTAAGCTTCGTCTTGTTCATCGCGCAGTTGTTGAGCATGACTGCGTTCTTGTCTGTTGACGACACACCACATGTACATTACAGAACATTTACATCACTTAAAACGTACCAATAAATGTGAATCCGATGGAGGGACGGGAACACACTAGATTCAAGGTTAATAAAAGTTTTTTATAATATTCACGGCACGGAATGCTCGAAGTTCGCGCTGGACTGCGAGCGACAACCCTCAGCCAATGAATGAAAATCTCCTCGCTTTCCTTCACAAATTATCGCGCCCCACTTTGTCACACGTAGTCGCTACTCTCTCGATAATTTTCAAACAATCAACAACTGAAGAAAAAGACGAGAGAAAAAAAATGGTGAAATTTGTGAATACTTGGAAACTAGAGCGGAAGCGAGAACGTACATGCATGCTCCTGCGGGAATCAAGCGATCCTCGCGCACGGATCACGGCAACCTCACGCGCATTGTATTTGCCACACACTGCACCGTCTGCATCGATAATCTAAAGCGCCTGCAAAAATGGTCAGCTGTGTAATACACTGAGTAACAAACCTGTCAACTCGTGCTGCAACCAAAGCTGGTTCATTGTCTTCTATCAAACGAGCTAGCAGTGACACATACCCATCAACATTCATCAGCCCTGTGAAGAAAAAGAGGTGAATAGTCACACATATCAGAGATACAGTTCGCGCTTTACTCGAGTAATGGTGACATTATCACCTAAATTAAAGTTTCTTTTGGTGTAATGCCATTTTCAACCCATGTATAACATACACGCTTGGCAATTTTCTTTTTCACGAGACAGCCCGTGTTTGGCGTGTGAGGTGCTCGTGATGGCAACAACTGTCTTACCTGTAGCTTGGCCACTTATTTTGTTTCTTATCACATTTTGACGTAATCTGTGATCCAGTTCTGAACAGACGCACGGCAACATGGAATCTATTTGAGAAGTAGATCACTAGGGTGGGCTAGGGGTTGGCGAGGCGAAGAGACAGCTTACCTTCCATTCGCCCAACAACGTTCATTCTGTTTTCTCTGAGACAAATCAGGGCCAGAAAAGGGTAAGTGGTTTCACGAAGGGCACGTGAGACTGTAGCACAAAAAAACGGAAAACAAAACATATTCACTCATCATTTCATTAAGCATTACAAATATTGCGTCTGCCGAAGTATTGATATGAAATTTGAAAATCTTTTCAAAATCGACTGAGGATATTCATTTGCCTTTTTTACCAGTCTCCGTTGACTGATAACCTACAGATCAAGGTAATACACAATAATTTGCTAAAACAGGTGCTGTGAGCAGTATAAACAGCATGCAATTTTTCATGGGCACTGATTGAGTCAGTTTTGTTTTTTCTTTTTTTTTTCATCCCACTTTAAATTATCAGTAAGGGTTTGTTGCTGTCAGAATCCTTGCCTTCCAACCTCTTAGAAACGGGGGTGGGTAGAAAAGAGAAAGGGGCTAATTACTGAGGGGGGAACCCGGACCAACATTTTGCTAGTCTAGCATCCTTGATACCCAAGCACACTACCTCCAGGTACACAACTGTGCAAATGTACTGATGTAAAACAATATGGAAGAAACACTGTACATCACCAAAAAATCTGAAGCAGATACGCTAAGGAGACATTGGAAAATTACCCATCTGCCTTCCTTTCTTCTATGAAACACAACACTGATCACCTACCTCTGTTACCTTCTTGAGATCTCACATTCGCTCCCCAGAATAACATGTTTCCATTCACGTATTCCCTAAATCCATCATTTGTCATAGTTGACCTTTAGAGAAACAAATGAAAGAATAAAATCAAGTTGGTATTCACAAATAAAGCATTTTTTTCTACAAACAGTGGGCAGTGAAGTGGGACTAGCACATCCATCAGCATACATTGCGTAAAGCTCATTTTGCACAAACAACCAAAGACACATGGACATGTGCATGTACATATCAATCTACTCTACATATCCACTGCAGTTTAAATTAGGAACTGTATCCTCTAGCACGCAAATGTAGATAGACCTACCTACAAAATTTATCAGTGTCCTGATGTTCTGAGCTATGCAGATAAACTAGAAGAAAGCGTAACTCTCTCTTTGCATCATTCAATGCCTGCAGAAAATTAACCACTTTTCAGTACAACACATGCGTAATGTAATGTTGCATAAAGTGTTTTTTTTCTAGCATCATCATTTACCTCTGGCAACCATTTCAGTTACCTCATAACAACTTTGAAGAAGGTTGAGTGAAAAGCCTTGCATGATATTGAACCCTACAATTAACAATTGGTTCATACGTCAGTGTGCATTCATCAAGATATGAAGCATGTGAGAAGTTTGGAGAGCACAAAAGATGTGTAAGAGTTGCTCGAGGTGTAGCCGAGAGCAACTCTAGCTTCTTGAGTGCTCTCCAAACTTCCCAAGTGCTTCATATCTTGATGAATGCACAGCTGACGTATGAACCAACTGTTTTATAACATTTTCAACCTGATGGAAAATTTTTTTCTCAAGGGATTTGTCTGTTGATGTCATGTCCGTGCACAATAGGAATATGAAGCATGCTCATGCAATTGAATTTGATAAGACAAATTTACTAGCTATGTTATAATATGGTATGAATGGTTCTGTTTAAGGATACAAAGGATATTTTGAATAGTAGTTCATTAAGGCAAACCTTTGTTGACTAAGGTCCCCTAGCCAAGAAAATGTTGTTCAACACTGAAACTATTTAAATATTTTAAATTTTCTGTGTACCTGACTGTAACTTCCTTGATAAAATGTTGGATGCACTGTTCCATACTCTGCTTCAAATTCTGTTTTGAACTTAAGAACATCCTCTAATGGGGTAGTTTCAGCTGAAAAAAAAAAAAAAAAAAAAAAAAAAAAAAAAAAAAAAAAAGGATATCAAAAATATACAAGTTATCAATTCCACTATGATATCATTCACCAAATAAGGTCAAGGGAACATGAAATAAATGGGACTGAAAAAATTGATGTTCCGGTTTAATTGCTGTTCACCAAAGTGAATTCAAATGGTAAAGACAGAGAACAGAACAATAGTGAACAGGTTGGACAAGATCATACTTGTGAATTATATGAATGTAAAATTATAATCAATCATTCTATTTTATCCACAACACACATCTACTGAGATATGCCTAGAGAATTACTGGTGCATGAAAAGACAGGCCAGAAATATCACATTTGTTAGAAACCAAATGAAAAAGTTTTCATTCACCTGATAAACAAATACTATGAACAAACATTTTGCTTATTGTTCCAGTAAAATAATGTACAGGTCACAAAATATCTGAATTTAGTATATACCACACACAGGTGAATAGTGCTTTATGCTGCATGCCTACACTGAATAGCAAGTCTGGAAGTGATTAGCTGATACTACATGATTGCATTCACCTCTGAGAAGCAGAAGAGACAAAATCGCATGTTAAGTGTTCATATTCCAACCATTTTTTTGCTCAGTAACAGAAATAAACAAACATTTTGGTTTCTGTGTGCTAAATACTAAAACAAGTATTCACCCTAGTGCCAGTGAAAGTGGTGGATACAGGTATTTACCTCTGTCAGTGCTTTGAGGCTCATTTAATACCCATCACTATTCACCACCACATTGGTGCATAATACTTTTAAATGTTACTATTACTACTGTTATTATGCTAATGACAAAGTCAAACATTGGATTAAGCTTTGCACCTGATTGGTTTTTAATGTGGCACAAGTTTTCTACATCAATTGTAGAAAAAAGTGAAGCAAAACCAACTGAAGGCAATCCTGATAACTTTCGACAATAAATTGAAAATTGATATGTTGACTGGCCGTACTAACTATCAACATCAATGGAAAGATCAATATACCTTCAAATGCTCTGGGCCATACAAGGCTCACTGGAAAGAAACAGATTTGAAAAATACAAGTCAATTTTGTTATAAACATACTTGTACATGTAGAAACTGCAATTTAATGCACTTTTGTAAACAGGGTTAATGAAAGGTTGATCATAAGATTGTACTATCTACAGTGTATTTTAAATTATCAGTTGGAACTTAACTTCTTATCGACAACAATATTGGGTTGGTATCATGACTAGTTCTGGTACTTGTTGTCACAGCTCCCCTTTGAAGCTGTATTAGGCGTTTTAAAGGAGTAGGTTGACCGCCAAAAACTCATGCAACAAGGTAGGTATGGATTGAAGAGAGGAAACAAAGTGTGTGTAGATTCTTACAGATTTACCTACATCATCAAGTAGTGAAATAGTACAGTGACACATATGACAAAGTTACAAAAGAGTATGTGAAGGTTAAACATTGGGATATGTTTCATGAGCTATCAAATTGCTGTAGAGCTTACCAATAAATCCTAAAAGATCTCTGAAAATACTGGTACCAAATCTGAAAGGAAGTAGTGGAAGTGACAAGAACCAAACAAGCCATCCCTAAGAAATAAATGGAAATTGACAAAATATTACCATACCATTGACTTAAATTTCATTAAAAATACAATGCTAAACATGTAAGAAAAGGAGACAGTGAAACCTTGAGCAGACATGCACAAGACTCTAACTTCAGCAAACCCTTTGACTCCCAAGATCTCATTAGTAATTCTCCTTACTGTCTGCCATACAGTTCTTGTGATGTTAAATTTGAGAAATTGGTTTTGGATCAACTTATAATCCCCTGATTGATATTTTTCTTTAATCTCATCACTTGTCTTCTTGATATTGTATTGATATTGTAAAGAGAAATTCTGTCTTGGTCACTCATGGGAGTTCAAGGGTTAACTTTCTACCAGGTGTTTCTTTAAACTGTTGTTGATAAGTACTCAGTTGTCATTAATTGTTAACCCTCAAAAGGAACAGAGTGATCATTTGGTAACCTTTTCAATCAAGCCATTTCAGGATTATAGAATTACACTTACTTGCTGAAATTAGCATTCTGAAAGCAAAAGATGTGATCTTTAACTACAGCAATTGCATAAATATCAAACTTAAATCTGTCACTACACTCTCGGCATGGAGACTGTTTAATAAGGGTTTAGGGTTGTCAAAAAAATTTTTAAGTGACCATTTTGTGATACAAAGCAGTAATTGCATAAATATCACACTCAAATCTGTCATAATACTCTTTGCCAGGGAAATGTTTAATAAGTGTTCAGGGTTGTCAAAAAGTTTGTGAGTAACCATTTTGTGATACAAGCAGTAATTGCATAAATATCAAACTCAAATCTGTCATAATACTCTTGACATAGGAACTGTTTAATAAGTGTTCAGGATTGTCAAAATAGTTTTTAATAACCATTTTGTGATACAAAAAAGGTGGCACAATCTGATGTTTCCATGCAGAAAATTGAGTCACAAATATTCAGAATAACTAGCCCTTCAGAGTAGACTATGAAATGTGCCTGTTGCCAGCTTACTTTTAAAACCCTGGATGTTTCACCATAAAGAAGGATGATAGACAACATGATACAGGATACAACTAACCTGATTTTGCCTCTGAGCCACTGTTGTTGTTGTTGTTCCTGTAGCTGGTGTTGTCGTTGTGGCTGTTGTAGTTGTGGAGATCTGGTTTTGTATTGCTGCAATTCCATTTGCCATATTATCCACATCGTCTTCATCACTAGCTTCAAATGTATTCTCCAGTGGGTGAAACACTGGTTGAGAACCTTCTGCCTCATTCAGTGTATCCTGTACTGCTGTCTGTTAAGTAAAGCAAAAATTTATTAACAAAACTAAATAATGAATGAAACTCTTTCCTCTAAAGACTTAAGCATGCTTTGATCTGGTGTTTCACCAAAAATACTTTAATACTTGTGACATTAATTAAATTATAATCTCAGACAAAACCTCCTAAGGCAAAGTTGAACTTTGAACTTTAAAACAATTACAAGATTCAAATCTCTTACAAATGCTTCTCTCCTACATTTTAAAATCTAAATTTACTCTGTAATAAGTTATTGTTATATTGTTATGTGAGGAAAACACCCTGGTTTTACCCAAGGCAAAGTAATTAGATACTTTTTGTAAGAGAAATGCCTGAATAATACTTTATGAATCCACTGCTTCATCCAACACTGGTTAACTGGTGAATGGAAACTCTTTTCAAAAACATACAAATAATAAACGTTTATCCAGTAGATAACAGTTTCCATCTTTTCAAAAACCAAATAACTGTGTTTCGTGAAGAAAACATGTAATGTGCCTAAAAATTTGTCATGTTTTCTTCATTTAACATTTCTCGATTGCTGCTCAAGGTGAGGAAACAAAAACGAAGCAACAGAAATGTTGCAATACGCTATTGCATATTCAATTAGCCGACGATTGTTTAGATCGTTATTCCCAGAGGCAATCTTCCCCAAAATCAATCATTAAATAAATAAGCTATAGTTAAGCTTAACGTTGGCTAAAAAGAAATGCATGTACATATTACATTTAGTTCTCATTTTCACTTTCCATTCAAACGAACTAGTAATGTTTAACTGCAATATACGTAAATTGTAACTAATTTAGGAAAAAGAAATCACAAAACATTGGATACCAATATTTTTTCTTTTAGTCAAAATGGGTGTAGCTAAAAACAGAAAAAAAATAGGTTCATGAACCGTAAAGTTATTCACCTCGATATCCCAGTTGTGTTGTTCGAGAACAATTCTACACTTTTCAATATCGTCATAACCCGTTATATCCTGCAAGGAGAAAACACAATAAGTATTCCCTACATTTTCACCAGACAAAGGAATACAACGATCATTGCAACCTGAAACTGGGCTAAAATCTCTGTTTGAATGGCAGAGCTACTGTATCCTTCCGCCATCTTGCCTAAATTACCCACACTTCCCCACAAGATGGAGTTTCTTTCAGCCTCGATCCCAAGATCGTTCTCTATCAGGGTAGGCATCTTATGGGGGCAAGTTAACGTTACGAAGCTCGCAATCGCTTATTCCAATGACCATGTTTGATTTGGAGGTAGAATGAATGGAGGGGGAAGGGGTGGGAAAAGACGATAAGGTTGCGAAATATTCATTGCCCCACCTCTCCCAACTCCTTCTTTTTGACCGTCACTCACCCCCTTGGTACAGATTTCTTTCTCTCCCCAGCCCTCCGCTGTTGTAAAAATTAAAGATGGCTGCCACAGTTCTTGCCAAGTTAATTCAGAGCACTCGCCCGGTCACTCGTCTGCCACCATTACGCCTGCTCTGCAGGCTAAAGTCGCCTAGGTAAGTTTCGGTGCTCGCCAATAACGCGCGTAATACGTGTGAAAAAGACCGCCCGTTGAATAACCGAATCACCGTCTGTCGAAGGAAAGTTTTGGAAACCAGCCTAGATAATAATTTCTCCAAAACCCGTACGTTTCGGGAATGTTTCATTTTTGGCGACAAAAATTACTTCCTAGAAACACTATCAAAAAATGGTAGTTTTCCGTTCTTCTAGAGAATCAGTATACCCTACTTATGCCGAGCGTGCATACCATCGCGAGACGTGCCAGCCTAAAAAAGATTGGACCATGCTTCAGGGGATACTGGACAACGGCAAAATGTAAATATCAGCAAAGGGTAACTTATAAATAGGCTACCCCGTCGCAAGGATCATGTGTAAAACAATTAAGGAAAGGTGAAATATCGGACTGGTCAGTGGAGCTTGAGAGAGACAAAAGGAGATCTTGCCCTTCTCGATTGTATAATTTTTTCTTTCTCTTCATTTTATCACTCATACAAGGGCTTCTTGACACAATGATTTCATAGGTGGTGCTCAAAGATTATACAGCTCTGCTCTCATGACTTAGGGATGAGTTTCACGTCAGTTTATGTCTGCCACGAGTCTCTCACGCTAGGACAAAATTGTTTTCGCTATTGTAAATACGACTGAACGAAAAATGCGTAGGAAAGGAGTAAAAAAGAAACATACTGATGTGGTGAAACAGACCAAACCCATACGATAGAAAAAAGGTAAAGGAAAATTGGGAGAGGTATTGCACTTACCCAAAGTGACGTCTGTCTGAACCAGAGGGGCTGCTTATGCCTTAATATTCAAATTCAATCAGCAAACAACTGCTCTCCTCTAAACTGCTGAAGAGCACTGCTGAACAGCAAGAGAGTTGGGTTTTACCTCGCTACTTTTACCTATGAGAAATTAATTTCGAGAAACGCGACACCAAGACGCATAAAATCACGAAAAGAGGCGACAAGGTTTGGTATGGTAGCATTATTTAATCTTTCCAATCTCTAAGTCTGTGCTGAAAGATCAAGATATTTCTGTGTATACTGTCGACTATTGTAAATTTGAAAGATGAAAACTGTGCAGGTTTGTTAGCATTGTTTCAAGATAATTAAATGCGCTAGCAGAGAAGAAATGCGGCGAGATTTTCATTAATATCTACTTTACTGTCCTAATATCCAAATATGAATGTTTCTTTATTCTTCTTGTTAAATAACGCCAAATTGATCTTTTGGAAAGTTTTTTTTGCATTTAATTGTTGTGAGCAGGGGTTTTCTCCGCTCTCTATTGTCCCCATTGTCCCCTTTGACCCAAGTTCCAGGGACCACTTCCAAATAAGGATATGTCGTTCTTTTAAATAAATAGTGCGGGGGGTCTGGGTGCGTGCGCACTCAACATGGCTGGTGCCGAGCACGGGAACACCGAGGCTGATGTAGGAGAAGGAAGAATGGCTGCTAGTGAGGGAGCGAACGGAGGGGAATATGCGGATGAAGGACAAGATGGTCGAGGTAAAAAAATATTTACGAAGCCACTCATATTTGTATTGTATTTTTTAGGGGGTTCAGCCTGGAGCGGTCGCGAAGAGACGGAGAAAAAAATTGTTTTTAAGATGCATATCCTGACAGCTTTCGAAGGCCCTTCAACCTCCGGTCGCTAAGTCTTCCCCTTTGTGCCGCTTATTTTTTTCACCAAATGTTTCTGACATTGAGTTTTTCTTCCGCCAGGCGACACTGAACTTTTCAGCAAGTCGCTGAAAATCCAATCTAAACGTTTTTACGTGGATGTGAAGCAAAATCGTCGTGGCAAGTTCATCAAAATTGCAGAGGTTAGTCGTGAAACAATAAAATCCTCTAGCCGGCAGCGAAGGAAGACATTTGCACCTTCGCTGAAGCTTTACCGAGCCGCGGGTTTTAACTAGGTAATGTCCTCTTCTCGGGAAAACCGTAAACAAGCTAACGTGATGGTTTGAGTGGGCTGTCTTTGGCTGTCTCTGCATTTATTTATTACAACTGGATTGGCGCAACGGAAAGGTGTGAAGCGGTGGAGAGTAAAATATCCGCGAGAGAAAAAAGCCCAAACCTAGCAGGGTGTCTCTACCACTCTCTCGGTTTTTAGAACACCTTACATGCAATTATTAAGCGTTCACTTAAGTAAGCCTGTCATGAGTTGATAATTTTCGAATCCGTCTGCAGTCTTGCGAATTCGCGGACAATTTTTTTTGGTCGAGTTGAATTTAAATGGCCGGGACTTCCTGTAGAGTCATAAATAAGGTATGCAGACAAAATGTACTGCTATTTGTTACTCGTTCTATGAAGATTTGCTGTTTCTTGCATTCGCACTTAATTTCTGTTCGGAACAAAAACTTTTGTATCCAGTCTTCAAGTGCAGGAAATATTTTATTCTCGAAAAGAAAGACAGTGTTTTGATATTACGATAAAAATCACCGATTATCAATTATTCAGCTGTATTGGCAGGCCGCTAGCATGTTCTGCTATTGTAGTTAGCATTTCCACGTTTTTATTTGTCCACTTTAAGAACCAAATCAGCAAGTTCTTTTGAACTATCTTTTTCTGAAATAAAAAGCACGAAAATAAAGTAAGAAAATCAGGTTGACTGTTTTGATTTAGATATGTTTTTTCATGCATAAAATCTTGCCGGCTGACAAAACGTTTTCAGGAACTAATTATGTAAATTTTTTTGCTATTGTGATTTTCCTGAATTCTTAGGCTTGTCGTATTTTGGTACAAACCAGGAGTGAAATATGTTCTCTTGCCGTCATCCACAATAACTGTTTACTTTGATTGAGGCTGTCTTCGTTGGTCGATCATCAACAAGTTATGTTACGACAAAATATTAGCTCGTACAATTTGCACGCTTTTATAATTTGACATGCTACGATTTCATTTTTTTTTTTTGTATTGTCGTCTGAAGTTTTGATTTTAGTGTTTGCCTGTTGGAAAGAAGGCCAAAATCGATTTATCTACAGAGATAAAATGGCATTTTACAGAAAATAAAAATCCAGATTCCGGTAAACAGTTGTGTAATGCCTTCACTGCATAGCGAAACTGATATGAATATTATGTTAGAGGTTTACGTCCATTGCTCATTTTTCCGTTCGAATAATCAGATGAAAGGAATTGCCTTATTTTCTGATAGGTTAGGCTCAGTCAAATCAAATGTAATCAGTCAATTGTAATTTGTCAAAGTTTCGCACTCATCTAGATAGCTTTCACATAATCATCATTGCTAAGATATTCAAGTCTGTGTTATGGATTGTCTGGAACTTAAGGTAAAAGAACAAAGGAAAAGAACCATAAAGGATTATGTATTAAATTATTCATGAGTGTTTACAATATGACTAGTATATTGAAACACCTGAAGGAATTGTTTTAGACATTTAATCTGCCACAAGCTTGTGTGGCCAAATTTATTGCATAGCTTTACCTTTACTTTGTGGCATATTAGAAGATATTTAAATTTTCCATGCTAAATTGTTCCTTTTTTTTTTTTTTTTGAGTGAGCCCTCTTGCCTTAATTGTAAACTCATTGAACTTCCCTTGTACATTGGTTTCAATGAAAAAAAAAATTGAATTTTTTGTCTTGAAGGTACCCAAGTGATAGAACTGGGGCTATGTATGTGTATGCATTTTCTCAGGTGTTGTGTGCTAGTGATCTGAGCGGGGTGATACTGATTAAGACAATAACGATTGTCTAAACTATCACATGTGTGTATGTCTTCAATTCTAGGTGACTAATAGTGCATATTTATCAAATCTTTGGCACTTGGTGTGAAGAATAAATTTCTGTGCCTTATGAAAACCATGTTTGAGGGATATGTTGAGAGTTTTTGATACAGGAAAATGCATGACAACTGTGCAAAGCTGCTGGGGTTAGAGCATTGTTTTGAAGGAAAGGTTGGATCTGTAAAATAAGTATTGTCATGATAATCATCTATCAGACTGTAAAGATCAAGAGCATAAAGCTACATGATGCTTACTCATACTTGTAAGGACAAAAATAGAAATAATTATATCAAAATGTCATTAGAAATTGAAAGGATGCTTTCCTCTGACAGAGTTTTTTATGAACTGTTTTAGCAGGAGTACAGTGTGTCTATGTGTACATGAAAAAGGTACATGTAATTCAGGTTATTGAGTTTTATTCAGAGAATTGTATATACATATAGTTGCCGGAGAAATCTCCAGTCTTTAATTTACTGGTTGGTCACTGCCCACACACTGTAAATATTCTTGTAACAGAGGTCATTAATACTTGGTGTCCAGATATATTGGTGTCTTGGTAACTTCAGTCTTTTTGAGTTTTTTATTTTTTTTTTTTTATCAAAGAAAAAGTTATATTAGCTTGTAGAGTGGTATGTTGCTCGCACCAATCAGATCACCGCATTAGGTTATGTATCTCGCACCAATCAGATTGCTGCATTAGGGTATGTATCTCACAGCAATGATGTCACAGAATTTGGATATCATGCACCAGTCATAGCATTTGGGGTTTTTTTTTTTCAATGATGTCATGGAATCAAGGGGCTGTGCACAAAAAATGACATTAACCAGAAATTTTGGGCCCATTTGATAAGTGTTATGATTGTGGCCTTTGCAAGAGCCTCGTCAAGTGAGGTCAAGATTTATTGCAATATGAAAGGTTTGCATTTAATTTTATTTTATTACTTTTAAACATTTTTTCCTGCTCCTTTTCCCACAACACACATGCCAAACAACTGACATTCCATCACGTACTATGAAAACAACGTCCAAAGTCCAATCAGAACATACCTAATCATTGTACCACATGAACATTAGGCAATTTTTCAAGTGCTTGAATGGTATTGCACCAATCAAATTCCATTTAGCTAAATTAGACTTTGCTCCATCACATGCCATTTCCTTGTAAACAACCTGCATTTTATTACCTATTCTAACCGCACTATCCAACTCCACTGAAAAAAATTCACATGAAACTTTATACTGCTGATAGAGAATTTTCCATGCATTTTTCCATGTTTTGACTTTTTCTACAAATAAATTCACTTTTAGCTACCTTGGGATTAAACCAATAGCATGTTAATTCCTTTTAAACAACCTGCATGTGATCATGTATTTCACACAGAGGGCAAAGTCCAGATAGGCAACAACTACAATGAGAACTACAGGTTCTACCAGTAATTGTGTTATCCAATAAAGTCATTATTAATATTATTATTATTATTATTAATCAAGGAGCCCTATTTGAAATATTATCCTTACTCTTGTTCAGTGTATCTTCCATTATATGAGACTACAATGTATCTTTGGTTAGGGTCTATTGGAGATACATCAGTTTCAGTCTGCTTTTTGCAATGAAATTACATGGAATTATAATTTTGAGGCGATTAACTAGAGACAAATAATTTTGATTTTGTTTCTGCTGAGGAACGGCTGTAAGCATAGTCTCTTTTGTAATTGTTATTTGGTCATGTCATGCAATAACTCTTAAAGAGGGCTCTGTGAGACGAGACCAAACATTGGCTGCAAAGGAGACTACAGTAAGCGCGGCACTGATGCATTTTATTTTTGCGCAGAAATAGTTTAAAAACAGAGACAATAGACCAGATAATACCTGTGTGGGTTTAGATTGTTTTTTCTCTTTCTCTTGAAGTGAAGTAATGCAATATTTTTGTTCTTCTGAAAGTTGTGAAAACATTGGGAACACAAAGTGTCCCATTTTGACCTACCCGGCCAAAAAATAACTCTTGTATGCTATGCATACCTAAAGTATGTTTAAAATGATACCTTTATCATTTTTTGTTGCTTGTTTTCTATTCAGGTTATTTTCTCTATCATGTTCCTGTTACTTTCTTGGCTTTGAATGTTTTTGACACCAATTTGTCCTCTGATTGTGACAAACAACCGTAAAATTGGAATTTTACTGACTTGTATCGGCACCTTCTCAATTCTTACCCAGATATTTATAGTAAAAATTACGAGGCCTTAAATGCACATGCACATATTAAAGTTTGAGGAAAAAGTAGCGTCATCTTTCCCATGTAAATGCTGCCGCTTATTGTTGGCTCCTATGCTTGAAAACATTAAGTTAGTTTTTTCCATTTTTAAAAGTCTCTGCTATGTTCAAAAGTCCTGTTAAGAAAAAAGCAGTTGATGAATTAAATTAGGGGTGGAATAGTAAGTATTCCAGGAACATAGTGACAAAGGATTGGATTGATTGCTAAGAAATTAAGCTACTGGCTGAAATTTCAAGTAAGGTAGCATAAAGGTGGCACCCTAAAGAAGGTGCTTTGTGTGCAATTGAGAAACCCAGCCTGCCAATGACATTTCATACCCAGCTTCCTGTTCAAAAAATGGTGAATGTAAGAAGTAAAAAAAAAATGACTACAAACAAGCACTCAGAGCAACATATTATTTCAATTCTGTTACTTTTGGTAGCATAATGTATGCTCAGGTTAATGTATATGAGTACCAAGGCCTGCATATCCCTCACATCTTATATTTTGATAGGTTTCTGTCAACCGCTCTGGTAAGAGCAAGGTGATATTCACTATGGGTGTGGCGCGGGATTTCTGTACCAAGCTGACGTCCTTTGCAAATTTTCTTGCTCAGGGTAAGGGATGTCTTTTTGCAAATGACTTTTCCTTGGACTGTGAAATAAAGATTGAGAGTATTCTTATGGCAATCGTCGAACTTTTTTTTGCATGACAAAATTTGGTGAGAAGATTTTCAAAGTATTGATTAGTTTGTTCTGGACTGGAAGAATTTATTTGCGGGGCTTATCACTTTTCTTTTCTTTTTAAATTTTATCTATTTTTATTTAACTTTTCTTCTGTTATCTTGATTTCAGCACCAAAACGTGATGAGGAATCAGAGGAATCTGGCAATTTGATGAGGTACATGTAGAAGGAGTGGTTAACAACTGCTTCACTAAGTAGAGGTTGGGTGCCTGAAACACAAAGGAGCTTCCACTATTGGCAGCAGCCAGCTCCTAGATGGAGACTTCTCCCATGGCTGTCAAATCCTGGCAACCCAGTTAAGAGCCTATGGCACCCGTCACACTGAATAAACAGTGGGAAGAGGGAGGGAAGGGGTGGGGAAAACTGCTGGGATGACAAGCTGATACTCTTCACAACACTGCAAGTTCACACTCAGAGCACACGCAATAACACCTCAAACAAACAGCACATGAAATTCTGACACGTGCACATATGCAAAAAACCTCTGACTATCACAAAACACTGATGTTCTTTGTTGTTAACTCTGTTAAATTGCATTTATTTTATGTCATTATTCTGTCTGAATAGCTTTTGCCACTCAAATAGTTTCATTATTGCTCCAGAATGTGTTTTTCAATAACCACATTTTTGTTTGCCAAGCTCTGTGAATTCCTTGAACTCCCTCTCTCTGAACCCCTTTGATTATTCCACTTTTGTCTGGAATATTATATTCAGGACACACAATGGGCTGCAGGTTAATGTGAAAAACTGCATGGACCAAGCCACTACTATATTTTGTTTTGTTTGACATGGAAAATTACAGTGTATTGTGAAAATGTTTTGACAGAATATTTTTAATCTCAACATGTCAGAAATTCAGACTATTCGAAATTAGTGATAGTAGTTTGTTTTGGAAGCAGCACATGCAAAGCACTTTTAACAGTGATGTGTTGCAGCAATTTGCTGCCTGAAGTGTGTCTTGGGCCATGAGAATTAAATTACAATAGTCACCAGTGCCTTGAAGGGTTTCAATATTTTCCAGAACCAAGTGATTTTCATAATCAGCTTCATTAATCAGACATTACATTTTTTGGTTGTATTTTGTAGTGAAAGTATCAGAGGTCCAAATAACAGAATGTATTATCTGGACCTTAAAGAAAACAACAGAGGAAAGTTCCTCAAGGTCTGTGTTGGGACTTGCTTTTAATTCTTTCCAATTTCTTCTAAATGATTAAGTTGTTTCATAGGTATTCATGTAGTGCAACATCCTCTTGAATCACATGATACTTTATTTTGAGGAACAAGTCGTGACTGTAATGTATTCCTTGACATTTTTCACAGACCTTTGATACTCATATTAGGATTTCACCATTAGTGTGCAATACTACTCAACAGTTAGAAGGGGCACCGAGGTTTTCTTTTGGTAATGTTGTTTTAAGAGAATTTTGTAGAGAAGCATGGGAATAACTCAGGCAATGGACATTTAGCAAGAGATATCTGCAGAGCAGTCTGATAATGTTCTAATCACTAATGCTTACCTACATTGTGATGGAACTCAAGGTTTATTTCATCGCAAGGTTAATTATGGTCAATAGTTTTTTTGCTGGTTGATTGATAGTTCACTAACCAGCATTTGGAATGTGCACAGTGATGTCATAGAGTCAGACCTCTTTTCCCGGGACCTCATTGTTCCTTCCTATTTGAAGTACAAAATATTGACTTAATTTCAGTAAAGGCCATTTTTGTTAGTGTTAGTTGTAATTTTTTTCTCCTAAAAAGGTGTTCATTTCTCTGTGTTACTGTACAGTTACATACAGGCAATGCAGTGTGCAGAACTCTTTTCATCAGAAGGTTTTATGAAGAAACATGGTGCTTCATGTCAACCAAAGGGGACTAACCTAATAACACTTCTCAGTCTATATAACATGTACAAACAGAAGAGTGGTGATTCAGTTTTATGGTACCATAACCATTCTTTGCATAAATCATTTTCTTTTTCAGATCAACCAAACTGGGACATTTGGCCGTGGAGGTCGCACAAACATAGCTGTTCCAGCTCAAGGCATTGTGGACATAAGAAATGCCCTTTCAGAGGTACTGGAGGAGTACGGCTCTGAAGAAGGTTTGTGAATTTGAAAAAGATGTTTAAGGCCAGATTAATGATTCCTCCAAAACAGTGCAAAAATCACATGCTGTGCAATTCTTGTTTGGGTTCCCATTTGCCTTCCCTCTCATAGATGCCTTCTGTTTTTCTTTTACCATAGTGTTTGTGGTGGAAGGGAAGGAGTCTTTGTAGGGTTGTACTGCTGAGGCTCTCCTACCCTGACCCCTTTTTAAGCCTGTCCCTCTCAAGATTAAAATATCCATTTTCATCAGTGTTTGCTAACATTTCTTTTAAACTTGGATCAAATATTTGTGATCAAGAATGTCTCCTGGTTGATGTTTTATTACTTCTCCTTACCTTCTGGCTTGAAAAGACATTTTGGTATTGTTGTGAGAAATCCAGTTTTGGTCACTTTTGGGAGGGGAGGGTTATAAGATAATTCTGTTTTTCCTTTTCTCTCTTCCCCCCCCCCCCCCCCCCCGTTTAAGATTATCACCATTAAACAGATCATGTGATTAGATCAACTTCTCAACTTAAGGTGCACCCTATGGAATTTCTCTGATGTTTTTCCCAAGGAAATGTCCCTAGCTTCAAGGGAGAATTGCCATATGTAAGCAGGTCATAAGAATTCTGTCCTGAAAATTCCCACTTGTTGGCAAGGCCTGTTGATTTTTTCACTTTGCTTTTTCTTTCAGAGGAAGTATCCAGCGATCTACCTGCCTCTCGTGAGCAGCGTGTGGAGCAAAAACGCTTCTATTTTGATGTTGGTAGCAACCCAAGAGGAGTGTACTTGAGGATTTCTGAGGTGAGTTTTTCAAGCACAGATTTTCTGTTCAATAAGCAGGCATCTTACTTAATAAGAGTCACTTGCCCTCTGGTAAGTTCAACACACTTGCACTTGATAGGTCTGGGGTTGAGCACTGGTTGGTCTGTGGTCTCTGGTGAGTGAGAAATTAGATGCTATTCACCCTCACAGGTTAAAGGGTTATGCTCATGAAACTGAGATAAGTTCTGGCTGTAATGAACCAGTACCTTTTTTTTCTTTTACTGAGATGGAAAATTTTTATTCATCCCTATTTCTGTGGGTTGGTCTCTCTTTTCTTTTTGGACCTTGAAACATGTTTTCAAGCTTTGTTGCACATTCTGAATTGATCTTATTTTGGGGGATTTCTTTTCATTGTCAACTCAACACTTGAGAATTCAAAGGATGTCAAGAAGGCTAACCTCAGAAAGCAATGTTGGGAATTGTAAATTTATTCCACTTAAAAAAATGTACCGTTTGCATCATGTTCAGTGAAGTATTTTACCTCACCCTTGCATTTCACTTCACTATTTCTCGTGATTGAGCCAGCCCAGCTGCATTTTCTTCAAAAGTTCTATTGGTATTCAGTTAAAGAAGGCCAAGGTTTACTATGCACTGCGAAGAGTGAATTGACATTAAAACAAAAGAAAAGGAAACAAAGCTGAAAAAGTGACTTATCAATGTTTCATGGTGAGGAAACTATAAGTTTCTGAATGTTTTGTAGGTAACAGCCAACTATCGGAACTCAATTACAATACCAAAGAGAGGATGGGCGAATGTAAGGGACATTATTGGTGAGTCACATCCTCTACTTTCACTTTCTTGGCTTGCTTTTGATCAGTTAGAGCTGGCTGTCAAAAGTGGTTCAGTCAAAAATACCCTTCATATTTAATAAGAAAGACGCATCTAGATCAGGCAAATTGAATGCTAAGAAAGTGAGAATTTTCAGATGAAATCACAGTAGCCATTGTGTTGTACCAAAACAGTGAAAGGGAAGCCATGTTGATATACCAACTATTCCTGTGGTAAATGTTGTCTTTGTTCCGATTATTGTATATTTCAGTCCAAACCAAATTTGTAAACAAGAGCAAGTAAGAACAGAGGATCCACTAGGACCCAATCGAAATCAAAAGGAGAAACAATTAACTGCAAAGCGAGGTCGAAGTTGATTCCGGTTTCGTAATGGATTGGTTGAGAACCGTGGCGCAAGTTTTCTTGAGCAAAGAAGAGCCAAAACATCTAATGCAGATGGATCATTTTTGACCCGTGATTGAACATTGCTTTACGTTAGACCTTATCAGTTGTTATCTCTTTTTTATCAGATGATTTTGTGAAGAAAATGGATGACGATGAAGAAGATGAAGAAGAAGAAGAAGAGGAGGAGGAGGAGGAGGATGAAGAAGAAAGAGGGGACTAATCCGCAGATCTTCTCCCAAACCTCACTAACTTTCCCTTTCTTTCTTTCATTCTCTCTACCTACCTTCCTTTCTAATCTTTCCCTTTTCCTCAGCGCACAAAAGATTTATTACTTTTAAACCTCAGTCCCTAAAATATTATACATAGTATTTCTTCCATTTCCCTTACCGAAAAGAAAATCAATCGTTTGATAATTATAACGGAAGCAAACTTTTACAGTACTGTTGTTGTAAACAGAATGCAAAATTATTCTTATTTCAGAGGGTGCAAAGAATTTTAACTCCGCAGATTACAGTTTTGGTTGTAATCGCTTCGGCTTTTGAATGCCCTGCACACCGGATACAAAGGACAAAAAAACGAAATTTAATACTAAATTTCTCATGCTTGTACAAAAAAATTAAGCCTTCAAAAAGCGGTCATTGTGATAAGTGATATTTTAAGGTGAAACTGTTAGCCGGCCTACAGTAGCTGGCTGGTGTTCAGTCATCTGATGTGAGTCTGCCTAGCAAATAAAATTTGGACAAGAGTCCTTAAAATGGTCGTAGCCGTGCAGTGATATTTTTTCCTTTGGTGTGACCTGCGAATTCTCAAGGAGGGGGTGAGAGGGCTCTAGAGGGTAGCCCTCTTGTCCAGGAGTGAAAGCCTACATCACTTGAGTAAAAATATAGCGCATTCTTCTTTTATCTTTCACTCCAATAAAGCGGAAGGAAGAGCAAGGGAAGCGCTAAGCGCGCTTTATTGCAAAACGCAAAGGAAACGATACCCACCTCCTGCGGGAAGGATCAATGTGACGCCTTCAAGTTGGTTTTGAACTTCAGTGCAAAATTTTTTTGCACTCGGAAAAGAGAACAGGAAGCGCGATTCTATCTCGATAATGATCGCATACTTTTATTTATACTGGCCTGGTCTGAAAGAGGTCTGGCACTAATAAGGGAAAACCGGAACGAGGAAATTGAATAAACGAGACTCAGACTAAAAATTTTGTTTCCATGCTCTTACAACAGCATACCTCCACGCTTAGTGTGATTCATATCAGTAACAGTCTGCGGACAGGCGTGATTTGTTTTCTTTTCTCCTTTTCAGTAGTGCAGACGTAATTGTAAAGTGAGCGCGGGGAAAACGCGGGGGCGCAGGAAACAGGTGATTGCCCGGCAGTTAAATGACATTAAGACTCTTAGAACTTTCGCGCTCCTTCAATATTCCCTCGCGTGTCTCACGCGTGACCACTTCCACTAACTTACGAAAAAACCGTAGCTTGTTCTGCATCTCATTCACTGACTTGGAAATTCCAAGCTCAACCCTTTCACTCCGAAGATCTCATTAGTAATTCTCCATACTGTCTACCACACAATTCTTACGAAGTTATTTGAGAGAACTTGGTATTGGATCAACTAATATTCCCTTGATTGATATTTCTCCTTATTCTCATCACCTGTTTGCTTGATATTGTATTGATATTGTAAGGAGAAATTCTGTATTGGTCAGATCACTTTCAGGAGCTAAAGGGTAAAGAAAAGTGAGATGTGTGTAGATATGTCGAGAGGATGCGGATAAAAAATCATCAACAACTCTTGTGCAAATATAAAATACTTCTCGGTCTTATTTCGGCCTATGGAAGATTGCGTGGAAAAACCAACTCGGCGTAATTTGGTAGCAATTATAAATTCATTGTAGTAAACTACAGCAAAAGTGAACTACAACGAAAGAAAAAGTAATGACAACCAAATTACGCCACGCTAGTTTTGCTAAGAAATCTGCTTTAACTTAAATCGAGTGGGATCAACAAAACTGACTCCGCTGAAGGGCTTCAGTTTAGTTTAAAAAGCTATTTTTCTTTCCCTGTTTTTTTTTTTTTACGTAAACAGAAGGCACACAAAGAGAAGATGGTAATTGTTACTCGAAATTGACCGTGTAAAGACGAAGCCTGATTATTTAAAAAACTCTGAAGCGAACAGTTTCTTTTTGTCACTGTCGAGTAGATGAAATTAATGATATACAGGTACGGGAGTTCGGATTACAGGAGGCTCGACTTTTAATGCTGGAAAGTCGATCTCTCAAAATTGTTTAAAGATTTCAACATTAAAAAGCAATCAGGGTGTAAAAGCAATTTTTAATCTATGACTTTGTTGAAAAAGCACTTTTTAATGAGTTTTTGACACTTCATTAGCATAACAGCCCAAAATGTGCTTTAAAACAGTTTTCACTCTGAGTCGACATTTGCCACGAGAGAGTTATTTGTTAGATCAACTTCGAGTCCATGCAAATCAAGCAAACTTGTATTAAATAACCACTTTTTTTAACATTTACAATAAAAATCATGCAAGGATTTACATGACAACTAACTCCAAAGCTGAGGGTTGTTTTTGTTTACCTCTCCAAGCCACGATAGTAGGTTTCCTCTTGCACTGTACATACTCGATGGATAATTATGCGTCACTGCCTTTTGTTGCATTTCAAAACTGTAGCTCTGCAGAGAGTCTTCCTCGTTAAGTTTAAAACCGATATCCTCATCGCTGCCGTCTGAATATGAACCAGTTATTGTTCGTCTCTGATTTATAGAAATATGATTTCCATTAATATCAGTAGTTCTCTGAGGGTTTGAACAAGTTTTAATTTCTTTTCTCAACTGGTCATCTGTTCGTTTCTCATTGTATTTATTTGCTCCGCGAATTGTCTCGACGTGCAAAATTGATTTTCCCCTAGTAACTCTTCGTGGATTGATAATATGCGTTGTCTGTTGTAACGACACATTCCCTAATTCCAATTTAGTGTTCGATTTAAACATGGCCTCTTCGCTGGGGTTGTCTCTCTCTGATGCTCGAACTTCTCTCTTACCTGTTTGTTGTGTATTTGTTGTCGTGCAATTTTCAGAGAAACTGTACTTTCGAAGCCGTGTGTTATTATTGCGAATTAGCACTGGGATGTAAGACGGTCTTTCAGAAGACAAGGAGAGTAGAGAATTTCTTCGTGTAATACTGTGCAGACCGGCTTTACCGGTTACTTGTTCATCTAATTTCCCCACCTTTAGAGGGCTTGAAAAACTTCTGATCCCATTTCCAAGCCTGTATGAGTTTTTTGTGGGTTCATTCATTTCATAACTATCACGTTCTGTTAAGTCTTGAGATGGCATAGTCGCCGGAGCCTTGTCTTTCTTTTTCAAGCGCTCTTTGTCTCTACCGGTTTCCATCTTATTGCTTCTCAATCCCAAAATTTTCCCGTCGCTGTTCGGCCTGATTGTAACCTGCATAGATTCAAATCTTACTTCTTTTGTCCGTGTAGCCTTTTTCATTTTCTCTATGCGTTTCCGTGGTTCTTTACCTCTCGTTTCTTCGTCCTTGTTCGCCGATCGCTGATTTTGAAAACCATTTTTTTGAAGCCAAAATGACACTTGGGGGTCTCTGCTGCGAAATACTTCATATCGTTTCATGCTTTAAAACAGTTTAGCAGTCTATGTTGCCTTTCCGTAAAGGCTTACAGTTGCAGTGAAACGCACTAATATTTCACTGCGTTCTTTCACCACTTTGGGCTATAATTAGTGGCAAAGGTCTACATACGGAGGTGAAATATGTCATGAGGACCTTGGTATCCAACTGGCATACGTAAACTCAACATGGCATGAACAACGATGCTGATTTGGCTTCGTTCCGCGATTGGATGAGACATAAGGCAGCACAGTATATAAAACTTAAAACCATTTTCAACGTAATCACAAGAATGTACATGAATTTGTACACTGTTTTCTGCTCTCGTGAAGCCGGTTTACAGGTACCATATTTGCATACGTTCTATAGAGTCAATAAGCGAATTGAAAACCTAATCTTCAGTCTTTTCTTGTTTGGTTGCAGTCCATTAGGTTAAGCACCTCCAAATAAAGAAACTTAGCATAAATATGCTGTGGGTGGACCTTCAAGAAAAAGATTTCATTTGTGGTACGTAAACACCGTTCAAAAAAGGATAAAAGAATAAAGGAACTGGTTAGAAAGACCGACATCCACAGGGGGCGTGTCGGAAAACAAAGGCCTGACGAACCTTTTGTTTTTATTGTACTTGAACCGCTTTTAAATTCTCGATTCTCTTTGTCAAATTAAATGATATTTAAACGTAGAAATGACAACATTACAGGAAAGCGATCGATCGATCGATCCTTGTATTAAAATTGCCTCACAACTATGAATACTTCTCTGGTTGCAAATCGAAAGTAATTATTTCGTTAGAATTGAACTTAAAATACTTTGTCAGTCCTAATCACTTTCAAGTTGGTACCTTATTGTTTTCCTAATAAGCGACTTCCGCATTTAATTATTTTCGTGTCATGAAGAAATTCAGAGATCTTTTGAAAGGCTTTTTTTGTCACTCATCTCTCGCTGACACGTTCATTATTCCATAAACGTGAGTTCAAGTCTAACTGCCTGATCGACTCGAGTTTGAATTTGTTTGCTAAAAAAATTCCGGCGACAAACAAAGGAGTAATTCAGAAAAGAAAGAAAAATGTTTGCCTCGCCTTAGGGAGCACTACTAGAAGTTTCGGCAGGAAATGCAAGGTCACCATTAAAATTACATTTCAGGTTTACGCATTTTTTCGTTCTCTGGCTCTTTTCCGAGAATGTTACCAAAGAAACCCCGAATTTTCCTGATTTGAAAGAGTTGAAGGTTTGAAGGAGGTTCGATTTTAAACTGATAAAACCTCATTGTGCAGCAATTTGTTTTGAATCTTTTTAGTTGACTTAGCAACCTTGTCACTGTCATGGATGGATATAATTGTTTAGCCAACCTAGACCTATCTACTGCAAGGTAGAGTTATTGTTTTTCCCAACCAGCGAAACTAGCGGCTTTGTGCTCGCTTTGAAGCGTTATGCAGCGTATCCCTTAAAACGAGCGGCGAAGTGCGCTACATGGGGTTTGGGACTGAAATAGTTTATAATAAACTTTTGTGCTGCGTCGGCGGACCAGTAAAACGCTAAGTTGCATATAAATTATCTCGACATAGAGGTTGATAAATACCTCTGACTGATCGAGTAAGAGGTCCGAGAATACGAGGTAAATAAGATATCTATTAAATCGATCTCTGGGTTCAAATCTGGGGGAAATATTTAAATTCAAACAAATTTTTGAATGCAGCCGGCCGTACAGAGAAATACAGCCCGCTAAATTGACCAGTCATAGCACAGGCAATGACTGAGAGATATAACAGTGTTAAATAAACCACGCAAGTAAATTGAATAAAGCTGACATTTCACGCATTAGACCTTCCTCGAACAAATGCAACAAGACAAGTTTAGAATCATAGAAGAAAAAAGTCAATTGTGACTTGTCTAATCAGGGTCTAAATTATAGGGGGTAATTTGCCGAGACATGATTCCATTAATGAATCCTGACCGTCGAGAATCACAAGGAGGAGAGAGAGCAGTGTATGGCGCATAAAATGTTCTGTGCAATTGCAAGACAAGAGGCATGTGCGGTGTATCCAATCAAAATCTTAAAACAATTTTGGAGTTCGCACTATTGTTAAGTTTTACGGATGATTTCTGTCACAATTCATATTTT